ACACATCTAATCTACACATATATTGTATATTTATTAGTATATTTACACATCGACCAGCTTTTAGTATATTTACACATCTGTATATGCATATACATCCATATATATAGTATATAGGGATACCATACAATTATTATACTTGCATAGTGATGAAGAAAGAAAGATCATACTCAGTTCCAGAATTAGTGGCTAGTACTGAAGGAATGACAAAGCTATCTTTTCCTCATCACTCACTGTTTTAAAATACAACATAATCCATATTCCTTAAGGGAGAAGAATGGAAGTAAAGGTGAAATTAGCTTTCCTTGAGCCAAATTTATGAGTAACACCAGTGAAAGTGCACCTTAACAACTGGAGATTAATCAGTTAGTGTGGTTTACCTGTGATAGGTATCAGCTATGAACTGCTAAATGTGCAATGAAACAGATGGGAGGTTAAGATTTCATAGGAAAGATTTTTGTGGGGAATAAATACAGTATAAAGTGGCTATTGATGAATTAAAACTCAGACTGACAGTACCTGGAGAAGATTTTTTTTAACTGTGTAAAACAGTGATTAATGTGAAGGGTCACATTTTCTTGCATGCTGAGAAAGGAAGCAGTTGGTCACCAAAGGAAGGCCTAAGAAAATATTTACATACAATTCTTCTCTGTTAAGTACTTGCCACAACATGAGGCTTCTCAGTGCTTAGTGAAATAATCCAAATCTGGTTTCTTTCCATATAAATTGTGTCCTCATAATTATACGAAATGTATAACAAGTGGTGTTCATTACAAGAATTGCTTTTAATGGCTCCCCTCTGGAAGAGCTGGAGTGCCTCGTCTCACATCCTTGATGTTCCTAATAAATAAATGCATCTCCGGTGGGTGGGATAAGAAGATATCTCTCGTAAGAGACTGCAATAAAGGAATGTTTAATTATATTGAAGAGTGGGTTTTCTACTGGGAGGCTCAGTTTTATACTGAGATAAGTAGGCAAAAATCTTTATCGACTGTGAAGGGCAAGTGTCTGAGTTTCAGAGGTCAGAGTTGACTGTATAGTTTGGAAATGAGAGTATTACACTACGCCCTGTAAAGCTATCTGGAGGGTGAACTATTTACTAGTAATTAGAAATAGATGTTAATAAGATTTTAATGGAGTTCGAGTGTGTTGTTAGCTAAGACCTTAATGGAAACAAGTGTTTTCTGGGGAAAACCTGTTGGAGAGTGAGCTTACCACTTAGTAATCTGGAATGCTAAATAAGTTTGAAAATTAGTTTAAGTGACTGTGTTTATTAGCAGATGTTTACATTTTCTGGGGGGAAGAAAAGAGATTTCCTTGAAAGTACATGTGGACAGCAGCAGTTCTTCAAATTTTAAACAGAAAAGCTGAACAACTGAAAACCTCAGAACATGCTGGAGAAGTGACATATTTCCATATTTCCTGCAGCCAGAGTAATAGTTGTACTTTTTTTTTTTAACGGAATGTGTTTATTTCCTACTGATAATTTTTCAAGCTTGATATTTTATGAATCTCGCTGTCAATGTGAGATGAAATATTTTTTTAAATGTGTCTTTCTTCTAGGTTGTTTAGAATCTTCTTACTAAGATGATTTTAAGATTGCTTTTCCCCTTCTCTCTTTTTTTCTTGATTGTAACTTGTTCCCACCTATGTGTTTTTATTTTTTGATACACAACTAGTGCTTGCTAAGTGTATTTTTGAAAAAGGATTGAATTTGTCAGAAAGTCTCATTGGAAGTCCCGTGTTTTGGTCTTGTCGATAGGTATGTAAAAATGAAAATCTGAATTGACAACCTTTATTGTGCTTTTTTTTTTTTTTTGGTCTTTTTCCTCTACACCAACCACATGGTATCACGGTGTGCTCATTATTGTCAGTGGCTCTTCCTCTTGGTTGTGCCTTATTTTGCCCAGAGGTTATAGGACAGGCAGAGATGAGGATGCCTGGCACCATTGCCGTGCAGATTACACACCAAATACTGCTTCACTGGCATCCTTCTCTTGTAGGACATGCAAAAAAACTGGAACCAAGCAAAGTGCATGAAGATCTGACCTACTTTATCAGCTGAATTTTAAGGAATTTTCTTTTGCAACGTGAGCCTATTTATGTCCTGGCCCATAGAAATGTTAATTGTGGGTGTGGAGACGTTCAGAACAAGATGGCTTTGAAAGGATTCGCCACCTAAACAGAAATTGGAGCTAGCAGATTGATAGCGTCAGACCAGGCAATAAAAAGGAGGAATGAGGAGGGTGTGAGCAGCGTGATGATCTGCGGCCTCAGCTCCTGAACAGCCTGAGTGCTGCCACCTCTGGCCCAATAGCTTTAGCAGGCCTGAAGGCTAAATGGAAGGTGGAAGAGAGATTGGTAGCAGAGCAGTGACGTTTCCATGCAAGCATTTCTTAGGAGTCTTTCCTGGTTGCTCACGTGCTTCTCAGTGATGGCTTTCATAGTGCCGGGCGGCGTTATGGCCTGGGCAAAGCTGGGAGGTGCTGTGCTGATTCATCAACGGGAGATGGAGAGGTTGGGCTGTGGAGAGCCTTAGAAGAAAAGGAGCTTACGTTTGTTCGTCTAGAGCAAACCTGAGAGCTGTCATTGAAGCGTGCAGTCTCTGAGAATTAAGGGAGTGTTTTTGGTATGCAGTAAATGCTCACGGGACCCTGAAGATGGCCTTGAGTCTTTGTGCCAGATGCCAGCTGTGCATTTCAGGGCACAGTCTTCTCTTCTCTGAGGTGTGATTTAATCTGGGGAAGCTAAGGAGCTTCCTTTTCTGGAAGGACAGGATGAGCATTTCCTTGGATGTGTGGCCTGCTGCAGATGATCACACCTCAAATTGGCAGAGTGCCCCCAAAGTGTATGCTTTTACTCTATCCTGTCTGTTGGCTTTCCCTTTTGCATGGTGCATGGCGGTGGTTAAATTTCAGCAGAGGTGGGTCAGCCAGAGCAGGTTGTTCCAAAGGTGAAAGGCCACCAAAAAGCTGCCAAGCAGCTTTGAATGGTTGACCGGAGAGAGAGATGATAAGCTGCAATCTGACCTCCCTTTCTCGGCAGTTCAAGTGTACAGAGTCTGCTCCTGGGAAGGATCCAGCATGTTTGGCTGTCTGAGGCAGGAAGGCTGAACCATGCCTGAAAGCCCAGCCAGCTTTTTAAGTGGCTGCACTGCCCCTGCTCCAGCTTCTGAGGATGCTTCTGACCTACCTCCATGCCCATCATTTTACATAATTGCTGTTGGATTCACAAGCAGCCCAGATCAGGAACGGGACACGTCTGTAAGGAAAGGGTTAAGGACCAAGTCAGATGCATGGAGAAATTGTACTTACTGGTCAGCACTCACTGCAAGGTGTTGTTATTGCCATTGGGGCACAAGCCTAATTCTCCTTTATGTATTTTTTCTTGGGCATTCATATAGGGACAGGATCCCGAATGGTGTTGGGGTGCATATTATCTTCGTAATTCATCGTCATTTATTAACTTGTATCTGGAGCAGAGAGGCAGGGCGGGTGGAAACTGATAGTGGTTCCATAAGGCTCTTTACCTTTAAAGGCAAAGTCCATATAGTTAGTATTTCTTATCAGGAGAATCAAGCACGTATGGTGTGAAAGGATCTGTGAGCTGGACACACAAGGGGCTTATCTTCGAGAGAAAGGTATGTTTTTTTTACTTAGGGGTAACTAAAAAGGGTCAGCTGTCCCAAGATAAAACGTAGGGACTAGGTGCTTTTGTTTTAATTTTAGATAAACTTGCAAAGTCACCCAAATGGGAAGGTAGGACTGACTTACTTTACTGGGTTTACATTGCAATAAATGTACAAAGTTTGATCTTTGCTGTGTTTTTCTCTTGGGATAACTGATATTTATTACTTAACCCCAAACATAACCCTGCTTTTTTTAAATATGGAGAGAAATTCAGGCATGAAATACATCTGAAGCTGTTCCTGAAGTGTTAAGAACTTAGTATTTTTTAATACAAGGAAGAATTTGGATATACTGGCGTAGTAGTGGAGTACCTTGGTTTAGAAAGGACTGCTAGAGGTCATCTGGTCCAGTCTGCCTCCATGCAGAGCAGGACCGATTTTGAAGTTAGATGAGGTTGCTAATCCTGTAATCCACATGTTCTTTATGATACTATAAATCAGTTTGTGGCTTCTATTTTGGTATATTTGACTCTAGGGATGACCTGCAGTTTCAGTTACGTCATAACAACCTTTGCACTTTTTAAGATGAGTTCTTTGCTGGACCACTGGTAATTTTTGCCCGTGCCTTAACGGGGTCAAGATTAGACCTAGAGGTTTTGGCTTGTTGGTTTCGTTTTTCTAATAGCAGCTATAATTAAGATGAAAGATTGCTTTCTGAAGATACATTTTGCAGGGTGTACTGGAAACTGGTAACATCAAACTATAAAAATGGTAGGCTTTCAGTCGAAGAGGAAGCAAGATAGAAAGAAACAAAGAGTGACCTTGATCATACATTTAGACTCACCAGTTCACAAACCATAACTTCAAAGTAGAAGTACTGTCCTTTCACACTTATAATTAACGTCATAGGTAGCAGGCTAAACATGAGAAAAAAAAAAAAAGAGAAATAGAAAAGCAAAGCAAAACCTAGGGGTACTGTCAAGCTGTAAGACCTTACTCATGAAGAAAAGTGCTTTTCAAACATTCTTCATGAACAGTTGTGCTGGGAAGATACATACCATGAAGTTAGTAGAACTGACTGTTGCGAGTTGAATTAGAGATTTGATATAACTACTATTACCAGAACTTGGAATTGTTATTTCTTCTTGAAACAGACTCCTGTGACATTCCAGATTGGGGGATATGTATAGCAGAAAGGTTAAATTCAAAATATATTCTAGATACTGAAAGTAAATTTAAATATCTTGGTTTGCTTGTTGGTGGTAACTTGCTTTGATACTTTGACACAGTTGATTGCTAACTGCCTTCAGAGGTATTAAGATATCCTGTATTTTAAAATACTAACAAAGAATTGCTTTCTGTTTAATGTTAATAGCCGTCGTTCTGGCCAGTATACAATGAACCATGACAATTCCAAGAAGACCCCGGATGGAGCGTCAGTTGACCGCTCAGGTTCCCAGGACTCCTTGGATGAACTGTCTTTGGATGATTATTTTAAGGAAATTGAAAACATCCATGAAACCAGAAGAAATAATCATGAGGAACGAGAAGCACTTGTAGTGAAAGAGCCAGATGGTAATGAAAAATATTGTTGTGAATGATTACCAGTGTACTGATTTAGGGATTTTCTTTAAGTGTTATTTCAAGAGACGGCACCTACCAAACACATTTAGATGAAAAAAGGGGCTCTGTTGAACATGCATTGTTGAAAATTTGGTTGCTTCTAATACATAACACCAGAAATAGACAGTGCACTGAAAGTGAACTGTATCAGGAATAAGTAAAAGGCTGGCTTTACTTTAAACAGTATTTGCAGAAAATGAGAAAGATGCCTGTATGTGCAGATCATAAGAATCATAAAGCTTATTTTGCAGTTTACTTTGTGTAAGTTTTTAAGTTGTTTGTTATTGTAGCTCTTGTGGATTGAAACCCCATGCTTAAGGACACAAGCCAATGATTAACTGCTCAAGTTTAGTGAGTAACTTCTAAACTTTTTTATCTGTTCAGTTGTATTGGTTTTGTGTCTCTGAAGCATCATTCCTGAGGGCATGATCTTAGAATAAGTTGAGCAATTTCCCTTTTTTTTTTTTGTGTGGTCATATCAGACAACAGAGAAGTAACATCCTTAATTCCACTCTTCTCTCAAAGAGATTTTTTTTAAAAAACTGCAGTATCTGCCCCTCTGATTCTTACAAGAGGCCCACAGACTCAATAAATTAAAATGGTGAGCTTAGCATTTTTGTATGGCTCCAGCAGAGCTTGTTCTGCATTGCATGAGTCTCTTTTCTTACTCCAGCTCAGTGATGCTGATGTGCCTTCAGGCTCTGCACTCCCAAACCCACCATTTCCTTTTTACTTATATATAGCCTTCTTCCCCTGGTTACCTCCAGCTCCAGCTGCTGAATCTGGCAGCACTGGCACGAAGCCCAAGCATGAAGCCAAACTCAGCTCAGCTGAGTTGATGAGCTTGAACAGATGTTGCTGTGCTGCACACCCTGCCTTATGTGTAGCACCTCATTTGAACGAGTGCTCCTGAATGTGTGAGACACTGCATCTGGCCCACAGGCTGGACAGGCAGGGGGCTCGAGACACAGCCGTGCAAAGGCAAGGCAGGGGAGAGACAAGGTATGCCTTGCTCAGGTCTGCTGTGGAGAATAGGCATAGACCTCCTTTCTTAGCCCTAATACCAAAATCTGTGAGAGTTTTGTTAGAGAGTCAGGATTTGGTGGCACAGCCATTGCAAAATTCATACTTAAAATTTTGTATCTGTTTTCTGAACACTGTTAATACTCATATACCCCCTGGGACATACATGTATACTGGGCACTGAGGGAAACTACAGTCAATAGTGAAGTTGACGGGCCTGCTTAGGAGCACTTTTAGATAGCTTATAGATTGAAATGTTGCTTGAAAGTTTGAGAGGGTGGTTGGCATTCAGCACAAACTAGACTGCTACTGACAGAAATTAGTGGCGATATTTTTTTTTTTTTAAAAAGGTATTATTAGAGACATACTTATTTCAGAAGTGGAAGTTTTGCCATAAGTGACTGTATTTAGTGGCTTTTTTCTCCTTCATGTGCAGTGATCTGTCAAGGAAGGTTGCCTTACCAGCTGTAAGACTAAAGCAACAATCATTTTATGGGCTGTCAGCAGTCTGGAGAGCATGTTGTAAGAACTGATTAAAAAATAGCATTAAGGTGACTCCTGTAACCTGGTTTGTCCTTCATTAAATTGAGCTAGTGGAGAGATGTAGGATTAATGTATTGAGAAAACTGGGCAGAACCATGTCAGTAAAGGAGCTAAAAAGATTGAGGTTTGAACTAAAAATCAATGAAGCAGCAATGATCAGAAGCTTTCAGGCTTTCCCATACACATTTGTATCTAGGTAACATTTGTAAAATGGTATATGATTTAATAGAAGTGCTGTCAGTTATGACAAAAATTGTCCCATAGCAATCTGTATTGGATTAACCATTTTAAAAGCCTTGATATGATATGTTAACTCTTTTGAAGCAATTTACAAACAACAGCTTTTTTCCAGGTCATGATAGTGTAAAGAATTGTCCTGTATTGTGTATTCCTGTGGACCTTTCTCTGTGAACTGCAGTAGTTACATCACGTCATCATAATCTGCTGTGTTTAACAATACTGGAAAGCCAACATTTATGCTCTTTTCCCTTTGCCTGGCTCAGAGGGAGAACTGGAAGAAGAATGGTTGAAGGAAGCAGGTCTGTCCAATCTGTTTGGTGAGAGCACGGGTGATTCCCAAGAAAGCATGGTGGTCCTGTCCACATTGACCCGAACCCAGAAAGCAGCAGTAGAAAAGCGAGTAGAGACTGTCACACAAACCTTGAGGAAAAAGAACAAACACCATCAGATTCCTGATGTCAGAGATATCTTCAGGCTACAAAGCGACCCAAAGGAAAAAGTAAGTTCCTGGCTGTCATTTCTTTGATGCTTACAGATAGGAGATAGGGACAAGTAGGGGTGGGAGGAGAGGAGAGGGAGACAGACACAAAAGGGCTATTTCCAGAAGATTTATGTGCAACTTTTTACCAGTTTTCAAGGGAAATTCTTACTGCAATTATGGGGATAGCATTGGTCCAGAGTTGACATTGCATTAAGCAATTTTAGTACGTAGAAATGAGTATGTATGTTGGTCTTTTGTTTCTCAAAGGGAATGGATAAAACAACTCTGTGGTCATGAAACTTCTTGGATTTAGTTTTAACCCAGTCACAAAAATCATGACAACAAACACCCAAAGAACAAACAAAAGCCTACACTTTAGGTGGTAATGCCTACAGTCATTCTGAGCGGTCTGCCATATAGGGAATGATATGGCTTATATTTACTGGTGTACTTGTTTGCTTGTTTCTTTTTCTTCTTTTATTTTTTTTCCTTTTTCTTCTATTTATTTTTTTTTAAGAGGAAATAAAGTGACACCAATCTAACTGCCTCTTTTTTTTTTTTTTTGGCTAGGTGGTTATGCTTATTATTTTGGGGGCTAGACCCCTATACTGACTCCCAGGGCCCCCCTATGTCATTAAACTGCGTGTGGTGAGCTGCTCTGACAGGTCCTGAAGAGACTCGTTTCCTCTTGTGGTGTAATGAACAGAGGAGCTCTTCTTCCTCATGCATGAAAGGGGAAGGAGGGAAACAGAGACTATAATTAGAATTCCTCTTCTGCAGAGAAGCATGTCTGTCCTCTCTACTCCCCCCCAAAGCAACTGGATCTTCAGCTGCTAGGAGAAACGGGCTGGATAGCAGTACACCACTAGTTTACCAGATCCTAGCCCCATCCCTCCTTCTTTCTCCTGCTGCTGCCATGTGGCAGGGGAAGCATGGTGGATTCAGAGAGGAGTTCATTTCCTCCCTCCCGCAACTGCTTCCTCTCCTTGGGCAGCTCTTTTCAAATTCAGCAGAGGTGAAATGGTAGTGGGGTAGTGGTAAGCTCAAATGTGTATTCTGGAGGCAAAACTTCCCTTTAGCTATTCTGCTTTGCATATGGTTACAGAAGAGATAGTAACTCCATAAAAGATTTCCAGGATCTGTTTTGGAATTGACTACATCTAAAAATTACAAGATCAAATAAAAGAGCAATTTAGGTAAAACATCACATAGCTTAAAGCAGTATAATTTCCCTTTCAAGTATGTTATTTCAGTCAAGTACAAGAAATACTCATGTTCCTTTTTAAACTACATACTGTAATGTCTCAAAATCATATGTTACAGTGTTCTGTAGACTTCTGTTTCTTTTAAACTACGTGTTTTGATACTGATGATATCAGAGAAGTAATGTAAGCAGACAGATGATTGTAGCCATGTAAGATGTACACAATAGGTCAGGATATTGATTAAATATAGAAATAAGTTAAAAATAAAATATAAAATCCTTCTAAACCTCTCTCTCTAACTGCAATAAAATAATATAAATCTAGGACCCTCAAACCTATACTGCATTCCTTTCTTCAAAGCAAGGTAATTATTCTGAAATCATTGCTTGTCCTTGTTTATCTAATCTGTCACAGAAAGCCTGTAGTGAGATACTTTGTACAACCTCTCTAGGTAACTTGTTTCAGAACTTTATCTCTCTCCCATCATTAAAAAGCTTTATAACAAAAAAAAGGACTGAAGCCACCTACAGCTGTCATTCCAGTTTAGTCATTCCAGTTTAATAATAGTCTCTGAAAATCCTGCAACCTCCCTTCACCTGGGGGAAGGCAGGAGGAAAGGTAAAACAATAGGCAGTATTGTGATGTTTCTGCTATTTCCTGATGTGTTCCTGCCAAAGAGAAGCTAGACTTTTGGTTCCTTTACAGTTTCCCAGTCTGCTTATTTGTGTGTTTCCCAGTCTACTGCTACTGGTACATGGAACAGTAATAATTTTCTGAGCAGTCATATTGCCTTTCCAGCAAACTGTGGCTTCAGGTCAAAGACTACATGTTCTTATCCCTTGCAACACTGGAAAATTAAGTCTTCTTATACCCACTTATCATTTTAGGAGGAGGGAGAAAGGACTTAATTACCACTGTCTTAATTACCTAGATTTCAGATCCCCTTAGACATTGTCAAAAGGATTTCAACTGAAACATGCAGATGTGCTTCTGCATATTCTTGGATTGCAGGAGTATGTGTTTTAATCCTGCAGAGAGTCAGTGGAGTTTCTGCAACCTCTTATCTCGTTTTTATAGGCATGCATATTTATATTTATTGTTCCTTTCTTAGGTCTGTGATGAAAATGAACCCTCAGCTGTAAGAACAACTGAAAACAGAAGTGGAACACAGGATGAAACAAAAGGTAATGCCAGACAGAAATCTTGTGGATTTTTTCCTCTTCTGTTCGTAGTCTTTCAATTTCACGATCTACTACATAGGTCCGTATTTCAAGTAAATTTTCAGCAAAGTAAAATGAAATTCATATGAGAAATCCTGGTCTAGCCTGTGCTGTTGTGCACTTATAAAGTTTTTAAGTGTGGCTGTAGGTTGTGTCTTTTGAGCCATCTGGGAAACCTTGTTTTTTACCAGTGATCATCTTATAATGAAGTCATCTGGGAGAATTCTCCTCCCATAGCTTATGCTTAGGTCTTTCCTGATGCTTAATTTGTCCCTTCTGGTTTATCTCTACTGTACAGTACAGGAAATGAAGCACTATTATACATAAGCTCATCAGTGCATACAAGAGAGCAAAAACAAATGGACTATAAATATACAATAAAGGCGAGAACTGGCTGTATGTCTGCAGCTCAAAATGAAGGAAAAACAGAAGAAAAAAGCTGCTTACCTTTTTAAGGAAAATGTAAAGGAATTAGCATTCTGTGTGTGTAGGACTGGGTTGGTTCAACAGCATGTGATTATGCATGAGCAGTGCAGTACCCATGGAAGACCTGCAGAACTTCCCCCTCCCTCTCACTGCCATGTAGGACAGAGCATAGCAGAAGTCCTTGGCTGAATCCATAGTTCCTGTTTTAAGAGTATGAATTTTGATGAAAGACTTTGACAAAGCTTTGTGCTGTTCTTCAGTGGCAATACAAAAAAAATATAAGAATGTTGCCCTGTATCTTACCCTCATCTTTGCGTTGGGGTAGCACTATATTGCTATATATATACGTGTCACTGTAATAACCAACACATTAGCTGGCAGCCATTTAAGCTTTAAGATACTTAATTGCTTTTCTGCATTGTTTATATGTCTTTTTTTCCCGCTCCTTCTTCTGGGAGACTGGATAGCATGTACATGTAGGTATCATACGGGACCCTAATCTCCTTAAATAGTCAGGCAGGTAGATCTAGTTACCTAATACAAGTTACTTATCTGTAATTAAGCCACCAAATAAACTTGTGCTCCACTTTTAGAATACTGACCTGTAGTTTTCTGGAAGAAAAATAATTGCTTTAGGATTAAACTTAAAAAAACAAACAAAAAAACACACAGTAACAAACAATACAAGATATGCTTAGAAGCTGAATTGGGAGAGATGAATATAAAAAAGCTCTAAATATCACTAAAACTGTGCGTGTTCAGAAGTGTTGTTAATCTTTCCCTTCCTCACTCTCAGCAAACCTCACTGGAATAAGAACTGTAAAAAAAAAAAAAAGACAAAACCTGGGAAGACTGCCAGGCTGCTGGTTCAGCAGAAGGGAAGGAAGAGATGCCTGGTGCTTGTGTCAATAAGCTGCACTGTAGGACTCAGAGCTGGAAAATTACCAAGCAATTATTACAGAATTTTTATCACATCTGGTTCTTTTTTTCCAGTGGCCCTGATGAACCCTGCAGAAATGGGAAATTCTGAAAGGCAAATCCCATATGCTATCTCTTCACAGCACAGATTGTGATGTGGATGGCAAATGCAGCCTTCTTCCATCCTGATACACTTCTGCTCCTGTCAACATGCTAAAGTGGGCTCTGCTCCCAAGATTAGAGCAGGAAGAAAAAAACATCGAAGTTTAGTAGTGCTAAAAGCACTGCACCTGTTTCACTGCTGTGCTGTGATCTTTCCTCCAGAATGATGGGCTAATTAGTGTTATACAAACAGTGAATGAATTTAAGGCAAAAGGTAAACAGTGCTTTATATTTCAGAGATACTAAATATTTATGAAATCTAAATCCAAAGGCATTATATTAAAATGGAAACCCCCTTTAACAAAGAAGTACTACCAGTTTCACCTGAAAAATGTGACCACCATCTCAGACATAAGACAGAGCTTAAATGGAGATTTTGTTGGATTTCTTAAAACTGCTGGAGTGAATGAAGGCTCTTTGGCACTTCTCCAAAGGTGTGACTCTGCTTCTAATTTAGTACTTGAGTGCAGCATTCTCAAGTGCTTCTGCCAGGCTGAGTGTACATGAGTTGTGTGAACCTGTGCTCATTCCTCCTTTCTTGCCTGTCTGACACACCTTGTTTGTTGTCTGAATAATGTAAGCAGACTCAGAGGATAGTACAAAACCATTATGTTTTCATTCTTTTCTGCCTGATCCTGATCAAGTGCAGTGGTTTAATAAAAGTTCCTGTGCTTCTTCTGTTAATAGATGCATATTTGAGTTTTTTTGGAAGGACCCTTACTTATTAGCTCTGATGTTTCTTTGTTTCCTGTAGGTACAAGAAATATCTACAAGAAAAAAAAAATAATCTAGAATTGTGTAATAAGCTGACAAAATATGTTATCATCTTAACAATCCACAACACTCAATGAGGTCCTGAAAAGCTAGCAATATGTTCAACATCTACAAAAGAAAAAATACAATTCTCTTTGGGTGCTTGTGAAAAGGAATAAATATCCACGTAGCTGAAACATCTCAAGAAATAAAAAGCAAAGAATAAACAGATGTAAAGCTAAATACTCATTAGCTTAAATAGGGGAACAGCAAAAGTCAGTTTACTGTGGGACTCTTAATTGTCCTAAATGCAGTGGGTTAGCTGCAAGGGAAGAATGTTAGATAAAACCTCTGTATAAGGGCAACCTCAAAGCTTAATGATGTGGCAAATGGATGAAAGAATTTAATGTAGTAGGTGTAACATGAGGGAAAAGAGCTGTAATACTTGCTTCTTGATACGAAAAAAGACTGAAATATGGTTGTATTTTTTAAATGAGTTTGTTTCTGCTTTTCATTTTACATGCTAAAGAATATATATTGCTGGAGTGATAGAGTGCTAGTGAAAAGATTGCAAACATATATTCTCTATTTAAAAGTCAGTTATGAATTAGCATTATAAATAGATGTTTTGTCAGTTAAAAAAACACAACAACCATTCTACATTTCCAATTATCAATTACGATCTATGAGTGTAGCTTAATGGCTACTCTATACTCTAGCATTCTCTAGCAAAACAAGGAAATAACAAGGTTGGCACTTCTAATATTTTCATGTCCCATTAAAAAGAAACCCCAAGCCCAACTCCCCAGCCCACTCCTGAAGAATTCCCTTCAATGTATGGGATCTTTAAAATAGCACTTTGAACTGGGGAAAGAGTATAGGGCTAATTTAAAATATGGCCACCACATCCTCATAGACAATATTTATGTTTTCTGTATCACATTTGTATTTTTCATGAAATACTGCATGCAGTTGGCAGGTTGACACAACACTGAAGCTGCTTCCTCTTACAGCTGCTTCCTAGTTAATAAATGCACAACAACGGGAACAAGGCTATACAATAAAGAGGAAACTCCCTGCAACAGAAGCAGTCAGACTTTTAAAATGTACACATCATTACCAAGACATCTGCTTTAGACAGTGCCTAGTATGACCAGAGGTCTGAAACAGGAGCTACTGCTTTATTGTTTGTTAACATCAGATCTGTCCCATGCTGGTAGGAAGTGTGTAGGTCATGTACAGGCAACAATAGCTTGGTAGAAGTCTTGGGGTGACAGTGAACTGTTTTCCTTCAGTTCAGCTGCATTAAACAACTTACATGATATACATAGGTATACGGACATGGAAGCCAGAGATCGAAGCCAGAGAAGAGTTTGACCTTGGATATGTTTGGTTCCTGAGGTCTCACATATCTGTTTACTGAAAGCAGCGGCTCTAGTTTCAGGATCAGCTTAATCTGCAGTGTATGCCTCAGGAGTCTTTCTTTTCACTCTCTCAGTGAGAGTGAACAGATGCCACTGTGAAAAGAGAAACTGGAAATCCACAACACGTTCATTTCGGAAGTGTTTTATTCTGTTTCTTACAATATTGCAATATTGCTTGGCTGTAAGTAGAGTCAAACACCTTAACTCAAATCCACCTCTCGTCTTTCTGGAACTGTATTAGCTCCAGATCAATTAAATTGAAGTGGGAGTGGCTGCATTAAACATTGTGCCCTGCTGGGTAGTGGCTATTGGTGGCTTCAGCCATTTGCCTGTCTATCAGAACCCCTGAGTTTTGCCCTAGCAGATGGAGGTAAATTCACTAAAGCACAGCAGTGACTAGTCTTGTCTTATGTGTTGTCTTTCAGTTAGACAGAGATACAGTTCAGAAGAAAAAATCAAGTTGCTTTTTTTTTTTTTGTGTGTGTGTGTGTTAAATGTATATGTTATTTGGGTTGTACGTTTGCAGCTCAGCTTTTTATCAGGCGCGTGGAAGTATCAATGTAGGGCAGCACTTCCCTGATGCCTTCTCCCTTAATCAGCCCAACCACAGCCTTTCCCCTGCTTCAAGGTCAAATGTTGCTGCAGCTGTAACTATTCTCTGGGAGATTTTCTGGCCTTGTTTAGCATGGTTATTCCAGGCCATGCAAAAATTTCCCACAGTGGTGTAAAGAAATTAGTTTGTTATGTTATACCATATTCATATACAAAAGCATGTTCACTGCTGATGGTTCTCCTCAACTCATGTCTGTTTTCCTCCCACTTTTTCTGTGCTTATTGCATGTTATCTTTGAATAGACTGCAGTCTCCTGTGGGTAGGAGTTAGAGGTGGAATGATGGTCCCGTTGAAACTAGCAGTATTAATTTGCTTATATTTGCTCTGGCTTTAGGAAATTTGAATTCAAACACAAATACATCAAGGTATTTGGAATGTATTGTAGGAATAACTTAATCTGGGCTATATCCTTTAAGAAATACTACATCACAAGTAATGCTGGAGAGATCAGAATCTTTATCTGGCTAAGTCATCTTTGGTGCTGCGTTACTAAACTATTTACAATATAATTTCCCTTTTGCTTCTTTCCCAATATCTTTTAACTTTGGACTGAAAATCTATAGTTGATTTCATGTGTAGAAGTACACTTCTTTTTCTAAAAGCAGAACTGCCTCTCCGGATTTTACCTTCTGTTTTTTTTTTTCTTTTTCCTTTTTCCTTTTTTTTTTTTTAAACAAAAAATATTCCAGATTTTTCTAGTGTTTAACTGGTGTATAAAGAACAAAGAAAGAGAAGTAAGGTGTTTGTTCTGTACTTACTCCTTCCCTGTATCATGAAGCATGTCAAGACAGATTTGAGGAACCTAGACTCTTCAGACTGAGGTGAGGACAGGAATGTCAGGACAGCAGTGTGATCTGTGTAGTGTCCACTATTCCCAGATGTTACTTGCAGATGCATGGGATGGATAAGTGGATAGGGTGGATTGGAAACGGGCTGAATGGCTAGGCCCAGGGATCTGTTTGCAGAACAGGTGGTGGGCAGTGGCACAAGATCTAGTTGGGACTCAGTTAATAGCAGGAATCAGTTGACTCCAGGGGTCAATACTCCAGTCCCATGTAACACCTTCAGTAGTAATCTGGATGAGTGTACCCTTAGCAAGTTTGCAGGTGACACAAAACTGGGGGGAGTGGCTGTTACACCAGAGGAACATGCTGCCATGCAGAGTGGCCTTGGCAGACTGGAGAAATGTGCTGGCAGGAACCTCATGAAGTTCAGTAAGGGAAAATGCAAAGTCCAGCAACTGGGGAGGAACAACGCCAGGCGCCAGGATATGCTGGGTGCCACCAAGCAGGAAAGCAGCTCTGCAGAAAGGGACCTGAGGGTCTTCGTGGACACCAACCTGAAACATGAGCCAGTAATTTGCTCTTGTGTCAAAGAAGACTAATGGTATCCTGGGCTGCATTAGGAGGAGTGTTGCCAGCAGGTCAAGGGAGGTAACCTTTTACTCTTCTGTTTAGCACAGGCGAGGCCACACCTGGAGTATTGTGTCCAGTTTTGGGCTTCCCAGTACAAGAGGGACTTGGACATACTGGAGAGAGTCCAATGAAGGACCATGAAGATGGGGAAGGGTCTGAAGTGCCTCTCCTATGAGGAAGGGCTGAGAGAGCTGGGACTGGTTAGCCTCAAGAGGAGAAAGCTCAGTGGGATTTTATAAACGTTTATGAATAACTGAAGGGAAGATACAAAGAGAACAGAGCCGTGCTCTTTTGAGCACTGCTCATTGCCAAGAGGTGGCAGGCACAAACTGGAACACAGGAGGTTCTGTCTAAATATCATCAATGGCACAGGTTCACCAGAGAAGCTGTGGAATCTCCCTCCCTGGAGATCTTCAAAAGATGGTCTTGCGCAAGTGGCTCTAGGTGACTATGTTTGAGCAGGGGTTTGGACCAGATGACCTCCAGAGGTTCCTTTCCCACCTCAAACATTCTGTGATTTTGTGATGTTAACATTTTGGATTGTAGAATAAACATGGTGTTTTGCTTCTGAAATTGTGACAGCAGAAAAAAAAACAAAACAAAAAAAGCTGTATTGTTTGCATGATATTGCAGTGTTTGAGGCTGGAAAGCGATGGCAAGAAACTTCTGATGCCAGAGCCATTTGGCTCTGGAAGATCCTGCTAATCTGCTGTTTATTTGAGGTAGATTTCTTAATCTTTTCATAATAGAAAAATATGAGAATACTCCATGCTTTGGCAGAATTATTCTAGAAAAAAAAACTTTAAGAGATGGAACCTTGTAAGAAGCCAAATTTTCAGCTGGAAAAAAATGCAGAAGCATGTTTGTAACTAGAAAGTTTATCCCTTGCACAGGATTAATTTCCATGTTTTAAAATGCTTACTCATGAGTGATGCTCAACCCTGCTGCTGTTGATTATTTTTTTTTCTACTTTGTTTTCAGGTCCTAAGTTCAGTGTTGGAACTAATGAGCAGAAGACCCCACCTCAAGACATGCCATTTTCAGAAACTGACTTAAATTTGGAGATACCCTTTGCAGAACAGGCAGCTAATACCAAAGACAGCTCAGTAGGCAAAATGTGCAAAGGTGGAGGTGGTGACACTCTTCCCCTGGTACGTTTCCTATTTATTGCTCTCATTGTTTGTTTTCACTAGTTGGTGGTATTGGTTGGATGATATTTATCTGATACTGGGTGAAGTAGGTTTAAAAGCATATTGTTGGATGGAGCTCTATGGGGATAAACCTTCTCAAGATAACTCATTTTTGGGAGCAGTATTCTCAACAACATGGAAATTACAACTTTTATGCCTATTTATGTCATTGTTGTTCTAGGAAAACCCACTTTATGTGTACACAGTAATTGACTTGTAATATTAAGCTGGAATAGTGGCTTAGTGGCACACAAACTCTGTCCTTAGTTCATTTGTTTACAGACCCTTCATCTATCTGAGGTGAGATGCTTTATCTCTGTAGTAGTAATATTTATTATCTTCTGAAAAGGATTAGTGAATGCTTGTGGAAATGTTGTGTAGTTATCCAATGCAGATAGGTAAGGGATGAAACTGAAGAGCAGAATGGTCTATAGAAGTCTTAAGTGAAGTGGCGGGAACCTAAGGATTACTTCATGCTGTTTTACTTCCCACCTCAAACAAAAGGCTCATTCAGAAAGAATCAAAATAGATACTAGGGAAGATCCTCCAAGGTGTTCTGTCAGTGATCTTCAGGCATTTCTTTATGGACGTCTCTTTGCCTGACAGTTCATGAGCATGAAGTTACATGTGACCTGTAAACTAGTGACTCCTGCAAAAAACATCTCTTTTGTCTAACAGCGTATCCAAACACATATGAGTAAATGTAGTGACTGAAGTAATAATGTTTCACAGTTCTTCAAACACTTAATTTAGATAAAGATATATGCAGTTCTTTGAGTAGTAATTACCCCTTGTATCCTAGTTTAAACATTATAAACCAGACACTGGTGACTATTTAGAAATGGGTTCTGAATTGTTTGAGTCTCGTTTCTGTAACAAGGAAGTGAGAACTACAGTCTAGTTTACTTCTGTATACATATATATATGTGTGTACTACATACAGTCATGGACTACATATAGTCATAGACTCACAGAATGGTGTGGGCTGGAAGGGACCTTAAAGATCATCCAGTTTCAATCCCTCTGCCATGGGATTTTCAATCCCTCTTCCACTAGACCAGGTTGCTAAAGGCCCATCTGACCTGGCCTTTGTGAAAATCAATGAAACATTAAGGCAGGAGGCTGACTACATATCTACAATTTGTAAATTATATTTATGTACAGTTTAAGTATGTACCATTGTAGCCATGTACCATAGCTACCAATTCATCTGTGCTATCACTGGGTCTGTACAGGATGAGAAAATCATTCTGCAGTACAATGTTTTTGCTTTCCAAGTGGAGAGGAAGGCTTGTCAACGTTCCTGCTTTGAGTCATGCATCTGCTAATGTCAGGCATAGGCAGCTGTCTTACTTGGAAGGATGCTGGTGAAGGATGGAGTTAAAAAAGTTCTATGAGCTAGGAAACTCATAGATCTCTCTCTCTCTCTCCCCCTCTCATTTTTGCTCTCCATCCAGTTCTCCCTCCGCCCCCCCGTCTGAACTCAGTTATTTACATTAGTGTGTGACTACTGCTTCTGAGTATTTATTGCAATAGAAATTATCTATTATTGCAGTTCCCCTTTCTGCAATTTCCCACAGAATAAGGGAAGCCCTTTATTCTGTGGCAGTCAAATGTGTTATTTTGTGTGGATAAGCGCAGAGGGATTTCTATCCCAATTGTACATGCATAGGATTGTGCATGGACAGATATTTCCACTGCTATAAATTGCAAAAGGATGCAGAAAGTGGCTGGGTAGGTGGGTGGAGTTTACAAGCAAGACAAAGCCAATCTCTTGTTCGAGATGCCCAGTGAAAGGACAAGAGGCAATGGCTATAAATAGCAACAAGGGAAATTCTGTTCTGCAATGAAAAAGTCCCCATGGGAGTGTTAAGCACTGAAATGGGTGCCCATGGTGGCTTCAGAATTTCTGTTACTGGAGGCTTTCAAAATTCAGTTGGACAACACTTTGAGCAAGCTGATCAGACCTTGAATTTAGGTTTGCTTGACTGAGTAGTTGGACTAGATGAACTCCAGAAGTTACTAGGAACCTAAATCCTCCTATGACTTTAAAATTGTCTGCTTTGCAAACTATTTGGGGGATTCTTCCATGACACAGTAGCAGCAGGCTTCACAATGAAAAGGTTGCACAGCCTTGGACCTAAGTAATTTGTTATGACTTGGATTATTCACTGTGCTACAAATCTCTGCTTTTAGAATTTCAGACTGCCAAAGGACAAAACGGGTACCACAAAGATTGGTGACCTTGCCCCTCAGGACATGAAGAAAGTCTGTTCTTTAGCACTGATTGAATTGACTGCTCTCTATGATGTACTTGGGACAGAATTCAAGCAGCAAAAAGCTGCAAAAATCAAAACCAAAGGTAAGTGTTTCATATTCTGAAACAAATTGGTCTGTTTTAATCCAGTGAAACAAATGTATCTGGTTATTTACGACTTTCCTGGAGAAAATTTGTATTAATATATAAATAATAATGTAGATACTAAACAGCATTTAATTATACACCTTGACTCAGGGCACATTTTAGGCAAGTTCATGCACAAAGTCAATCTAGCTAAGGGAATGTGCTCTCTTTATTAAGTTAAAACTCAGGCCAAATACAGAGCAGATAAACAAGGAGAGAGGCAGGGGGACCTTCCTCTCAGTAGCATGGTGTACAGGAGGAATCGCTTCACAGGAATTAGTATGATCATATATTTGCTGGAAGAGTATGTGTTTGTGTTTTTTGTGGCCATTCTTCTGCTCTCATGAAGCTAGGTACTGTGCTACTCCTACCAGACTTTTTGTTTTCCTTGTCCTTGACTAGAGATGCTGGGAGCCTTTGTCACCTGCTTTGCTGTTATGTCTGGTACAGACTTTGCTGTATTACATAGCCATGCCCATCCGGTATTTACTAAGGCCAGAATGTGGTTTTTACTCTGAGTGGCATCATACCAAGTGGAAGTTTGGGGCTTTTGCAGAGGATTTTGAGGCAGTTGCAACATGTCATTTTGATCTACAAGCCTATAAAGCATAGATATAATCACAGTGCTTTTCTTGGGAACTTAATACACATGGAAACCAATTTCAAGATGCTAGAGATTTTCAGTGCTTTGTTTGTTTTCTGTATTCCTGGCTTCTGCTAAATGTTTTACATGAGCTTGAAATGTGTTATTGGTTAATCACAAGTCTGCTTTCGCCAAAACCCTGTTCTCAAGGTTCAGTGAACATGGCAGTGCAATAGCTTAGTTTAAATAATTAAAAGCAACTGAGGAGGCTGAGAGCTATGTAGCAAGGTACAATAGATTCTTCAGAATACTATATTGGGTTTACAGTAGTAGAAAATAATTTCTTAAATGCCAACGACATGCAGAAACAGCTAAGAGACATTGGTCCCTTAAATGTATTTTCTTCTCGCAGAAGTGCTTGTGCTATTACTAATACACAGGGAAGAGACAAAACATTTTCTTATATTTTGGGTCTTAGTTTTAATTAATTCTTCTTGCCAAATCTTACAGTTTTTTGAGTTTTATTCATAGCATTATTATCTAAATGACAGGCAGTCATGAAGAGTACTGAATTGGTTAAAAACCCTGTGTTTCCACAAATAAAAAAGATGGCCTAGACTTACCAAAATGTGTAGGAAAAAGACAATGACATGTCAGCCTTCCCTCCCTTACAAGTCTGCTTTTGCAGTGTAATGACTTCAGTGCCTTGTTGCTCTACCTGTCCCCATCCTCTCTATTCAGGAAATGTTTGGCTAATTGATTTGTACAAGGGTGGATATATTGGCTGTTCCCTTTTCTGCTTGTGTACATAAAGATGATGAAAACATGATTCTTCTGTGGAATGCTGTGCTGTTGCCAACTTGGCCTTTTAATTGGCCTCCTACAGTTTGCTCTCCAACTTCATCTCAATAGAAACTGTATCGACAAGATTGTCAAAATGATAAAAACTATGGGGTATGGCTATTGGGTCTATGTATGAGTCTACATACTGTATTGGTAGACTTTTTATTCTGCTAGAGATACAAGAACTCCCTGATTTGGCACTTAAGATTATGTTTCTTAGATATATTTGTCACATTCCCTCAAGGGCTGACATCTTTTTAGTAATTACAGCTGTTCTGTTTTCAATACTGGCATGGCATCATACCACACAGGAGCTTTTAGGTACATGCAATGTTATATGCCGTTTCAGAAAAATGGCACACGCAGCAGTCGTCAGTACTTGTGACAGAGTTCTTTGGCAACTGACTTTGGGTTAGTAGTTGCTGGTATAGCAGTGTTTCAGAAGTCATTCTCTTCTATTCAACTGGACCATAATCACATGGGTGTCCCATTTACTTTAAGACTAAGGCTAGTTTTGCATGAAGGCTAAATTAACTGAGACTAAGTTTCTTTTTATTTGTCCTACCTTAGCACCTTGTAAAAGCCATTTTCCAGCCCAGACTTAACCGTACTTTAGCTTTTCAACAACTGGAAAAACAATTTCAACAAGGTGTTGAAAAAAAAATAATTGAAGGGTTGAAAAGCGCTTCTTAGAAACTCTTGTAGGGAGGTGTTGAGGGTAACACTAGGTAATATCTACATCTTTAATTTTAGTAGCCAAATTTTGGGGTATTTTACTCATGCCTTTTGTATCTTGACTATAATATCTTGCACTGAATGGTGAAGATCTGTGTTCCATGTTCACCCTTACAACCATTCTACAAACCAGAACCATGCAGATGATTCATTTATGCAATTTGTTTCACTGTACTGCAGAATATGTGGATGGCACTTTGAAGTCTAAACAGAAGAGTCCTGATGCATGGTTGAAGGAAAAGATGAAAGAGTCACTTTAGCCACAATGTTTTGTGTAATAACTTGATTGAGAAAGACATTTAAACACTTTGAACAAAAGGTCAATAGCTCTGAATGTATTGAATAGGATTATCACTTCAAAAATACAGTTTTATACCATTGCCTCATGTGTTGGAACAGATGAGGATAATATCTCAGTTTCTTTTGCTTTCTTCTTCAGACTCTGGCTTGTTTGGTGTCCCACTGTCAGTTTTACTGGAACAGGATCAGAAGAAGGTGCCAGGTACCAAGATCCCGCTGATTTTTCAGAAGGTAAATAGGCACAAACAAGTCAACTTGTTCCATACCTGCAAGTGACAATCAAATAACATTTTGTCCTGAATTTATTTGCTCCCTGTAGCAAAGCTTTATCCAGTCAAAGTTATTTTAACTTTCATTTGCAGCTTTACTTACTAATTTAGTAAATGTGATGTTTTGCATGTTTTGACTTAAATGAATTGAGCTTGCTTTTTGTTGCAATTGCTCTCTAATGTATGACTATTGTGAATGATTACTGGTGTGTTCCAGGATACTTAGATATCAGTACTAAGTAAAGATACTTAGATCTTCTCTGGTAAAGTTGTAAAGAAGAATATTTGTGAGAAAGTTAGTACTGTATCTCTAATTTTACTGTAATTATTTTGAATCAACATTTTAACAGGGGTAGTAGTTGGGCTTTATTTGTGAAGCTTGAGTAGTTTTGCAAAAAACCTGCTTTAGTCTCTGAAGGAGGTCTGTAGACAATACAGTTTTTTTTTTTTTAATAAAATAGACAAACTCTTTAATTGTGTTCACAAAATGCATGAGCCAAGAGCCATATTAAAGGTTTTATTCTATATCTACAACAACTCTAATCCATTTCTAAACTGTGTTTGTGTGCCTACATGTAATATATGTTTGTACACACTCATATGAGTACATAAATATTCCAGTATATTAGAACTACCTATGAGTAATTTTTAATTGGCATCTTCATTCATGCAATTTGGTTTGTGTTTGACAGCTGATTTCCCAGATAGAAGAGGCAACTCTGGAAACAGAAGGACTTCTTCGAATACCAGGAGTTGCAACAAGAGTAAAGGTAAAGCATTGCATGGATTCTCAGCACCTTCAAAAACTTATCTGCACTCAGTGATTGTATTTAGTCATGAAAATATATTTTAATGCCATGTTGTTATTAAAATCCTCAAAAACAGAAAGCAGAATCTCTTCAGAAAGAAAACAGGGTTATATTAGCAGGAAGCTGATGGTTTGATCCAGTGTAGTTTTGGGGAGAGTTCAAGTTGGAAGCAGAGTCAAGGCTATGTTTCAAATTCATTTGTGCCAAAATCTCATTAATTCTTGGCACAAGCTTTCCAGTCTCTTGCTTTTTCCCTGAACTAGCTTAATCATCTGAACAGTTCATACACAGTCTTTCAACCCCAGGAGAAAGCTTTTTTCTGGCATTGTGAGCCTGCTTTAATAGCTAGACTTAACCCGTGTTACAGGGCAAGGCAGCCAACATGCACTGAAGAACCCCTCAGATTTATTTTTATGAACAGCAGTGTAAGTGCTCAGCTCTCTAAGCACAATCTTGTTAGGCATGTCCGTTCACACTGACACTTTGCAGAGTGAGTGCCAATTACACACAGACTCTTCCCCAGTATTTGCCTTAATGCAGGAAACTAAATACACAGTATGATTCACGCCAAGAGTCAATGTGTTAAAAAGATGGTCTGTGCTGGCTTTAAATGCTAAATAGAAAGGATAATTTAAGTGGATTCAGCTGTCTGAAGACATCTGCCAGCCTCTGTCATGTCAAACTTTGTCCAGCAGCTGGTTCATTAGAAACAACTGAAAGAAGGGAATATTACGGAAACTGGCTTTGTTTATTTACCAGTAACTATGAGGGTTTTTTACAAGTTTCCTTCATTATTTATTTTTCACTCTTCATCAGTTCTGCATACTGGAATGATTTTGTTTATTTGTTTATCCTTTGATCTTTATCGGTTTAATACAATTTCCCAGACAGAGGATCATTAACTATTTGACTTTCATTAGTTTTTTGCTTATTTATTTGCAGAAGCTGCTTCTTTGAATTAAATAATCGTTTTGTTAGCAAAGATGTTACATTCTTTTACTTATTTAAATGGAAAACTTTATAGGAAAACAAAGAGTTTGGCATACTGAAAGACCAATGTTCTCTCTAATTTTATTGTTATATAATAAAATTTACATTATAATTTTTTATTTTATAATTTATATAATTAAATTATATAACTTTTTTTCTCCTGTAGAAAAAAATATTCCTTCTTATGTATCTTCACAGAATGGTGTAGACAATATGAAGACAAAAAAATTCACTATCTTACTCTATAGATTTTAGACTTCTAATTAAGAAAATATACTGCATGTTTACAATACCCTGTAGTTCAATACATTTACTGTAAAGCCTAAGAGTTGGTCCTTTAGGATGTATAGTTGATGTTTCTGCTCTTGCCTCTTTGATAAAACAATCCGTTTTATCTAGTAGTTTAATTCTGTATTAGCCACGGTGATTTAGTCTAAATGTGGGTGGAAGAGCTGGAGAGGGTCAGAGTGGAAATTTTCATCTTCATTTCTAAGGCTTGCTTTTGTTGATGGGAAGGAAATGATACCCACTTGACTTTAGACATCTGAGTTAATATCTTAGAACCCTTGAACCTCCTATGTAATCCCTGGAGACAGAAGATCTTCCCCGAGGGCAGTTGAGAACATCCAATTTTCATGTCCACATTTTCTTTGGAAATAGATCCATTTTCCATTCAGACAAAGTTAAATTCAGTGAGAACTGTATCTTAAAAATGTATTTAGTACTCTCTATCCAATGTGCCCTTCTTGTCCAGATAAATAATTAAGGCCACATTCTTCCGTAGCATTTTCCCTCACTTTGTCTCACATTCTTTGCAAAACAAGCGTCTTATTCTCTGTCTGGAAGAACTTAGGCAAGAAGAAGGGAGAGGCTTGCTGAGAGGTGCCTGCAGGGCCACTGGCCTCACTGGGACAGGGATTCCGAGGCCGCTTCCTGCTCTGCCAGACTGGGAAACAAATGAAGTGCGTGCAATGGGACTGGTGCTTATGTGGGGACTAAGAACAGCTCGGACATTGTGGTGTTCCCATGCTTAATATCGCTTTTAGTTCAGTTGTAGTACTGTCACAAGAGCGGGGTTTACAAGGTGTCATTGAGACTATCAGTGCTGTTTATTCTGCTTCTTAACAACATATTTTGCAGTCCCCTTCCATAGAGAGCTTGACATCCAGTGCTAAACAAAGGTCTATGTGTCCAAAGGCATGAAGTTCCCTACAGATGGCAAGACATCCAGTTATCCTGTCACCCTAATCATTTCTCTTTACTTTAAAAAGAGAACCAGCCCCACCTTAATGTATGTTTTGATAAGAAACTGCGTGTCAGTGTGCATAATTGCCATATTTATCTAAGAAGATTGTCATGCATACATTAAATCAGTACCCTTTGGTATGTAGTTTCAGGATGGTTGAGTATGACAGCCACATCTTAATATTTCTTGGGAGGAGGAGAAGCCATAACTCTTACATGAATGAATATGGTATCTGGTTCTTATATTCCATATGGCCCTGAGGCAGGCCCATGGGATTTCTTCCTGTATAGTTTGGCAGTCTGCTGCCTATTACTACTTGTTCGCATTCAGTGCTTCTGATCTCCAATTTAACTTTTTGTAGCAAAAGATCGGTGGCAGCTGGAGTTAAGTGATATTTCAGATACTCCCTTTTTTTCCCCTTTCAAAGTAAGGAAAATATTGCCATGTATATAAGGTATAACTTCCAGCAGACGAATGTTATTGGTACTCTCTGTGTCTACTGCCTTTCAGACTCTTTGCCAAGAACTGGAAGCAAAATTTTATGAAGGGACTTTCAACTGGGAGAATGTAAAGCAACATGATGCAGCAAGTCTTTTAAAATTCTTCATCCGTGAACTGCCTCAGCCACTCCTCACTGTAGAATATCTCAAAGCTTTCCAAGATGTACAGAGTGAGTAGTGTCCTTTCTGTCTCAGTTGCAAAGAAGTGATACAAGTGCAGAGAAGTGCTTCTTTGCCATAACAGCATTTTCATTAATATTCTGTGAAACCAAAAAAGAACAAATAGGGCTTCTCATCAAAAAGATGGGTACATTTTTGCTAATGTACAAATACCATTTTTCATGAAACATCTACTTCAGTAGTTTACACATAAAATAAAAGCACACTGTCATTTTCTGATATGCTTCTAATAGTCTTTAGAATTATTATAGACGAGTTATAAGAAAATTATTTAAGATAGTAACAGTTTATAAACAATATTTGTCTCAAAAGAAACCAATAGCAAAGATATAATAGTTCTGCAGAAAATCCAACAAATGGTGGTTTATACTGTTTAACGTAGTCACGGAGGATATTTTATCCATTTTAAACAGGAAAAGTTAGACCAGAATTGTCAGAACTGCTGGTCATCCTTGATCCCTTGAGATCAGTAAGTTCCTGTGAAAATGTCCTCCTTGCCAACTGGTCACCAAGACAGTAAGCATACTGATTGTAATAGAAAGAAAGCAGCTTTGTGGAGTGAGGATCCACAGACGTTAGCTCTCCAGCCAACACAGGAGTGTTGGTTTGAGACAAATCTTTTCCTGTCTTTTTGTAGGCTGAATGATGGCTCATTTCTAAGGGTACTTCCAGGGAATTCCCGTGGACAGGCAGTCAATCTTAACTGTTGGCTGTTTCACTCTCCAGTCTGAGAGCTTTTTTCAAGGTCAGAGACCATTCAGTTGGTGTGCATAGAAGCTGGAGCTTAAGCCTGTTACATAGCAGTGTTGATTTTGCAGCAATGAGCAGCAAATTAAAGCAGGCCAGAATGTTTTCAAGTGATGCTGGCAGCTAACAGCTCCTCAAGGTTGTTCCACTTAGCAGATACTGATTGGAGCCAGGATGGTTTCTGCTTGCCACTCCTGAGCTGTCTGAAGGCTTATGTGGTTTTACTTATCCAGAAAATACTTAGGTAACAGGATGCAACATACATGGAGCTAAAGGATATGATATAAACCAGACATAACACTTCATAGCCTACTATTGTTTAAATTGTCTGCCCATTGTGTGCATGCAGTGAGATTAGGTGTTAGAGAAAAAGGACCATCTTTGTGACAGTAAACAGAATTTTTCAAGAGTGTGTTTAATTAGTGTGGTTAGACTTTTAATATTTAAATGACTTAATTTAAACAACCTAGCTTGTTAATTTAAAGAACTTAAAGAACTAAAAGTAAAATGTTATTTAGGTAAACAGATGGAAAATCATGATTTAAGTAATGAATTTTAATTGTTTTGCAGTTGTGTTTTTACTTAATTTCCGAATAAAAGGTTGGTTCTTATTGCTTTTTGAGCATTGTGGCATGGGGTTTTGGAACTAAATTTAATCCTCGCTTTTATTGTATGTCTTTCTAAGCACACAGGTACACTGTTGTCACTGCTTGTATGTTTTAAATGACTATATAATTTACCACTAATTTATTCATATCCCTACTTTTTATTATGGTAGAAAGTCAGCAAGCTGTTTTTTGTTTCATAGATGAACTTTTTATTGGCTGTATCTCCCAAATAGTTTTGGAAGAAATTTATTTGAAATAGCAGTTCAGTTGGAATCCCATTAGAATACACAAAAACAGCCCTGTTGAGCTTTGAAATAGTGTAATAAAACTCGGTCGGGTGCAGGTACCCCCTTCTTCACCTGCGTTGTGTATGGCTTGATTGTTAGGAATCTGCTGAGAAGACTTGCAAGAGCACTTTCCCAAAGGCATGACAGGAGGAAGTTTATCACAACAACAAACCTAAGAGAGCTGGGACTTTCCACTGCTCCACACTGGCAGGATTTAGGAACCCTCCTAGGGAGGAGGCAGAGAAATTGGGGGATGCACTCATCCAGCATCTTGGCTGAATGACTCACCACCTAACAGTTGGGTAGATGGCAGAAGCAATGGCACTTTTCTTTACTTAAAGCTTGCCACGTTTAGTATGACATTTACTGCTGCAGATATGTGTTAAGCTTCTCTGCTATTGTCTTTATCCCCACTGGTTTGCCACTGCAGCTGCTGCTGCTCATGTTACTGGAGACCTGCCTTACTCAGCAACCTGTGGTATTCCTTTTGCGGGGGTGACCTGGGAGACGGTGCAACTGTTTAGGCAGTCAGACAAACTGTGACAGCAATTTTAAATATACCCTGTTGTATGCTGGGGCACGGGCTTGAAAAGGGAGGAACCATTAGCTGACTAGTTTTACTTCATAATGCTGCAAAATAAAGAATCACAAGGTGTCTAAAAAGGACTGCCAGAAGATTGTTGAGTCATACAGCAACTGAATCATATGAGACCATTTGGAAATTAGTATCAGAAAAGAAGGATCTGCCAGTCCTGTGTCATACTATCACAAAAGCCATATGTATGCGTTCAGCATTTTACAAGACGTTTCCACTTTAAAATCATGCTGTTTGACAAATTGACAAATGATAATTTTAAAATACTGACGTTCATGTGCTTCAATGGCAGATCTTCCAACGAAGAAACAACAGCTGCAAGCTTTGAATCTTTTGGTTATCCTTCTACCTGAAGCAAACAGAGACACTCTGAAGGTTAGAATTGCTAATGCTTTTTTCCTGCACTTTTGTCTGTTTCTGTGAACCCACTATGCACTATGACAAACAATGTTGTCTTTTAGCATTCTTCTTTTGAGTTCAAAGTTAATGCTGGAATTAATGATTCTTTCTTTCTTTCTTTTTTTTTTTTTTTAAAATTTTATTTCTCAGAACTTTAAAAAGCAAAACAAACAACAACAACAAAAAAAAAAACAACCCATGACTTAGGACCCAAATTCCTCCCAAATGACTTTAAAAGTATGATTTGAAATTTTTCCAGATTGCAATAATCATCTCACAGTGAATGACTTCTTCTCTTACAAGTTTTTTCCTTATTTTAGCAGCAGCAGTTATTATTTGCAATGCAAAAAAGAAAGAAAAAAAAAGTATTATAATACTATGGCTGAACATTTGCTTTTTATGAAATAGGTTTAGCTCTTTTGTTTCATTCTTCACTTTTGCCCATGTTGTGTGTTTCAACCCAATAAGCAAGAAATTTACACTTCCTATTGATACTTGCAGCACATCACTCTTGGAAACATCCAATTTGGGCTTGTCCTTTTGTAGCAAAGCCAGCCATCTTTTTCAGAATGTGCTTACTATTTTGCTACAATGAAAAATGAATTTTCAGGATTTGTATGGAATGCAGAGTATCTTCTACTATAGCCAAAAAACCCCTATTAGTTCTTATTGTTTAAACATAGCTTCCTTTTTGAGTTATTTACTGTGAGGAAGCACTCAGGAGGGTTCCTGGCTTGGGTTACAAATATCTAGAACCGAATTAATTGAAGACTGATGGTTTGTAACTGGCTACCTCTCATTCACAATGCAGTGTGGTTTACTCATGAGTTGTATACCTCACTGAACTATCTACTCCATGTTTCCATGACAGCTGGCATTATTGTGTTCACTTTCTATTTAAGAAAAGCCAATAGTAATGTTTTCAAAAGTATCTGTGTGATGATACTTATGCACCTACATAAGTAGTCTTACTCTACAGGGCTTCAAAGTCACTTGAATATTTTTGAAAAATGTTATCCACAAAATTAACAAGAATTATTTACTTCATTACTTAAAGAAAACTTGCATTGCAGTCTTGTGAAGGAGCATATCCACATTTCTTATTCTAATTGCTTTAATGTAGTTTTATTAGGTATAAATAGATTTTTCCAAGAATGTGTAGCATCATGTTTCATTCTGACTTTTTCTTGTGCAAAGCTGAGCTTTAAGTTCTGCTGTAATTTCAGGTACTGCTTGAATTCCTCCAGAGGGTAATTGATCATCGAGACAAAAATAAAATGACGCTAAACAATGTTGCAATGGTGATGGCCCCAAACCTTTTCACATTTCATGGGTTTGGCTCAAAGACTATCGAGCAAAGCGAGTTTGTTATGGCAGCTGGAACAGCAAATGTCATGCGCTTTATGATTCAGCACCAAAAACTCCTCTGGACAGTAAGTGTATTCCTAAGGGGGGAAAAATACATAAATTTCACAAACAAGGCATCTGAACAAAGAAGTAAAGTGAACTTATTTCCATGATTTAAAGAAAGATCAGCCCCATCCAGCTGGGGCCTTGCTCATAGGTAGCAAGATAGGAGTGTAACAGAATCATATTTACATATTGTGGTGGAGTTAAGGTCTGATGGTCAGAGTTTTAGTATTCAGTATAAGTGAACTCAAAAATAAGTCCTTGGGGAATCCTTGTATTTGGCCTATTGGTAGGCATTGTTACAAGGAATTTATTGTTTTCTGCTTAGAGATATTCATAGCACACATGGTGTTTTAGTCCATTTCTCTTTTGGGCCAGACTTTGTATTATATAAAACATGCTTTAATAAAAACATGAACTTCTGTCATGGTTCTCAAGCAAAGCTCTCACTTAGACAGACTGGAGAACTTCAAGCTTTGCTGTCCATCAGGAACTTAAAACAATCTTGACTTTTGCTGCAAATGTGGAATAGTTACTACCGCCATGGCACAATGTAAAATGTGCTGAGTGATTTTTTTTTTTTCCTGAAGAGAGTAAAAACACTATGATTCTAACTCTCTTCCTCTGAGAGCTTATTGAATTGAATATAACATCACAAGTGTAGTGTTTTTTAAATTGTTTCACAGCTTTGTATTATTTGAATCTAATTTCTACTGGAAATAGATTTTTTTTTTTCCAGTTCTACTTAACAATCTGTAAATTTACAATGTTTGATAAGTTATGGAAGTGATGTATATATCTTACTATCTATATTCATCTAGATTCCCAAGTTTCTTGTTAACCAAGTGAGAAAACAAAATGCTGAAAGCCAAAAGAAGGAGAAGAAAGACAAAGCTGTGAAGAAACTTCTGAAAAAGATGGCTTATGACCGTGAAAAGCATGAGAAACAGGACAAGGTCCCTAACGATGTAAGGAAACATCTGAAATACTATGTTAATAAGATTACCATCTCTAGTGAAAAAGTGGCTATAGCTGAGAGAATATCTGCATTTATTTATCACAGAGTTTCAATAAATAGCAGGTTAATATATGGGTTTCATAGTTATGGGTTACCAGCATGACACATTTGGAAGGTTGGGCTGTTTATTTTTTCTCCCTATTTTTCAAAATATTTATATTTCTATTTTTTTATTTCTATTTTTTTCTTTATTTTTTCTTTCTTTCTTATTTTTTTTCCTATTTCTAATATTTCTATTTGAAAAATGATAATCCCATAGATTGTTTCAATTTGGGCGTCTGAAACAGTAGTAGGTTAGGTCAGTATTTATACAAAGTGTTGTGACACTTGTTACTGTACCAAGGTTTAGATGCATTTCTGTCTAACGGAACTCTGTGTTTACTTAAAAACAAAACAAAATGCAAACTCTCTACAAGGTTGCAGTATTTCATATTTAACAGTGTTTGGAAACTAAGCTGGTATTTAATTCTCATGCCCATAGGAGCTCCCACACCACTGAGCTCTGTCTCAGTGAATTTAAGTATTCCTGGTAATGTGAAGCATGCTAGAGCGTGCACAGCTGCTCTCCCCTTCTCCTCTCCTTCTATCCCCCTCACAATAAAACCAACAAGCAAAACCAAACAAAACCATTACCAACAACAAAAGACAAAACAAATGTGAAAACTGATAAACTGCTTCTTAATTAGCTATTGTCCAAGTGTCCACTCCCAACTTACCCATGTGAATACAACCTTTAGTTCAGTAAGTGACTACTGCTAGGCCCATCAGTGATGTCAAGGCATGTACACATTACGAACAAGAGTTCATAACTCTTGAAAAAATACAAAAAAAGTTCCTTGGCAATATAGTGTCATTATTTTCCTTTACTTCAGAAGTATTTTAATTGAGCTCCTCCCACTGACTTTTCGAAAATATATCTCATGCATCTTGAAATTGCTTATTATTTACAATCTTAATGAAGTTAATAATTACAATTGATAAAGCTTATTAGACTATACAGAATAGCATCTAAATTATAATGCATTTGAAATACATTTTTCCAATATTTTAAATACAGATAGCATCAAATATATGTGACCTCATAACATACTGAATACTTACCAGATTAAGGTGCTACGAAAGTACTGTTTTATGGGTTGAGGTCATATTGAAGATTCCGGTGAATTAGAGACATCTTGTGGTAGCTTGTAAAAATGCATTGGTCAGAATCTCCAAGCATGTGCATGGCAAACTCTTATTAAAAAAAAAAAAAAAAGGGGTTGTCATATTCTGCTAAAAGCAGTTCGTTAACATCATATTAAGATAAAAAATAGATATGGTGAATATATTATAATATCTGCCGGATCTGCCTGGTTTGATCCTATAAGCATACTTTTTTTTTTTTTTTAATCTGCAAAAAGATGGATCCTTATCTGCAGCCAACATCTGCTAGAACCATATACCTATATCCTGTCTATACCTAAATGAGGTTTCTTTTGTATGCAGTATTTGACACATCGTTAAATGTCTGAAATGAACTAATTCCTTGGGTGATACCTAGGCATATTTTCATATTTACTTGAATATATTTGAAGTAATCTGTACACAGAATCTGCTATTATCTACAATTTTAAAATAACACTAATTAAATATTGACATTTGTTTTATACTGTCTAATAAAAAGAGGATTCTTTGAATACAATTCAGTTGAATTAACATGAGCTGACACTTAAAGAAATGCTGCCATCCCCTGTTCAACGTGGAAATAACAGCAAATACACTGAAATAGGCAAGTGCTTTTGCAATCCTCAGAGGATTTTTTATAATTCAGTGCTGTTGATTTTTGTAGTAAAATATGCCTTTTTAATCCACTAGAGACCTAAGACTGGAATGTCATGTAATACTTACCCAAACTTCATCCCCAAACATAAATGTAAAGTTGCTTTTAAAGAATTTTCTTTAAGCCCTAGAAATCTCTGGGGATTCCCTGCAAAATTAAATGGTAGATTTTTTATGAAATCCTTCGTTCTTATTCAAAGCATTCCATAACTTGGGTGCCTGAGAACGTGTACTCTTAAAATCATATTCCCAAATATGATATGGCTTCATTGTAAATGACTTTTATACATTTTTCCATATAGCTAAAATTAACTCAGTTCTTTAAGAAAACAAAACAAAACACACTTTTTTTTTTTTTTTTTCAATTTGAATTGACTTAATTTGAAATTGAGGTGATTTAACTGTGCAGTTTGTGAACTGAACTCCACTCTTAGTTGGCAAGTGAGGTACTTAAACTTTTGGTGAATCACTGCTCTGGAGAAAGCTGTTTGTAACTTTTAGAAGTTAATCATCCTGCTTGCAGCTGAATAAAAACTAAGTGAAAGTTGCTGTTTTCTATCACATGTTATGGTACCACATGTAGTTAAACATATATAACCAGAGCTTGTGTCACTTCCATAATGTTCAGAAATATCACAGTATCAGCATTCTCAATGACAATCAGCTCACTTGTTAATCTGCATAAAGGATAAAATTTCATCTTATCTCTGATGAGGCCTTTCACTCAATGACATTTCTTCTTTTAAGACAGAGGTTAAACAGAAATTATTGTGTAAGGGGAGCAGATTTGGGGCAAAATCTCTGTACAGCAGGAAGAGCAGTTAATGGGGCTCATGAAGGCTGATTGCTTTTTAGAGCACCTACACATACAGCTCTACAGCCCATGTTTATGTTAGGGAGCAAGTCTTTATGTTGCTGTTGGTGTGCGTTGTGCCCTAGGCCAGGCAAAGAAAGATGCTCTCAGGACTAGGTATTTAACTATTAGCATAGCCAGATTTATACCATCTGTCACTATATTCCTGTCATTATTGTTCCAAAATAGCAGTCGTGTTGGTGGCACAATGCAATGCTAACTGGACGTCTCTAATACAGGTTAGAAAAACCAATGTGTCCTATAGCCATTCTGTTTGTATATGTTATACATGTTTGAATTTTCACAGTATAAATTTATTGACCCTTGCTGAATTTGTTGTCCACTGTAATTCCAGATTATTAACTAAAAATATAGGTTCCTGCTAATCCATGTCCCATTAGACAACCTAACACAGAATTGTGTACTAAAATGAAAAAAATTTACTGCACTGAATTTCATGAAAGACCGGTTATTAAATAACCTTTGCATCCTTGAAAGTTTCCTTTCCTTTTGCCAGAAAGTATGATCCCAACAGTTTGAAAAATGGTAAAAGATGTTTAAACAGGAGTTAGCTTTCTAGTGAATAGCTACAGCCATTATTTCAGTAGGTGGAGGCCTTAAAGATAGATACAGGGAATTGCTTTTTGAGATCAGCTGCAGCCTGATGAATCTTTGATTGCATGTTTACTATGAAATTCTCAGTTTGCTAATTCTTAATGGTTTAGACATAAATAAACATAAATAGACATTATTATGTCTATTATTTTTAAAATTGATAATAAAAGGACCAGATATAGAAGGATTGTCTGGTTAAAATTACTTACCACAGCAAATCACCTATGTATGTTAATGAGCCTTTCTCAAGCTGTGCTGTGAAGCTGTGCTTCTGATTCTGATCACAGTTATACTTGTTCTCTATTAGTCTAGTTCAGATGGTTTCAGAGAAACTATTCTAGATTCCTAGGTGCCCAGATTTGTTCGTTGATTTTGGAAGAAGAAATGTTCAGCCTTAAAATTGCAGTAAACAGTGGGGAAAAAAAAAGAAGTGAATGGACTGTCATAATCAACCTTGGCTACTGATAGTTTTACATTTCTTTTCCTATCAAAATGAATACATTATGGTAAATGGTAATACGAATAGAAAAATTACCTTAAGATTTTCAGGAACAGAAATTAGGACCTTATTCACAAATAAATTATGCCTTCTGTGATTTCAATTGCATGTACTGTAAGTTGAACTGAAAAAACATCCTTTGGAGCCCTTTCTCTGTAAGTAATATATATGACTGATATTCATCATCAAGGATTTCTGAGTAGAAATAAAATACAAATCCATTATGTAGTCATACCTGCAGGTTGGCTATCAGAATATATTCTGGAGAATAAAAAAGTAGAGATAAAAAGCTGCTGTAGTGAATACCTGTGTTAAAAGGAAATGATACTTCCTGAAAAGAGGAATCATTTAAAGTAGAATGACCCATGAATACTTTGTGATTTTTTTTTTTTTTCCTCCATGAAGATCAGTTTAAATGAAAATGGAAAGGTTTCTCCTGGAAGTTTTCATAGGGGTGGTATGGAAGAGTTGCCTGGCATTCATGCCTACAGCAAGTCTTTTCCATATAAATCTCATGCGCTTCTTATCATACCTAAGAGTGTTCTTAATAGAGTGGTATTTGTTATTGTTATTCTTAACATCTTTGAAAAATAATTAAATACTACTGTTCTTTTGTTCTAAAGTTTTTCTTGCTGTTAAAAAGAGATTTGAAGTTCTGATGTAATTTACTGAATTTCTGTGTAGTTCTCATATTTCTGCAGCGAAGTGCAGTAGACAGTAGTGGAGTGCACTTACAGAGCACTGTACTGTTACTTATTCCATACTGTATTTCGAGAAACTCATCAAAGCCAGCTGCTAGCAGCTTTGTTCCAACACCATTATTGCTTTACAGGCTGATGTTCCTCAGGGAGTGATACGGGTGCAAGCGCCTCATCTTTCGAAAGTTTCCATGGCAATACAGCTGACAGAAGAACTGAAAGCCAGTGATATAGTAGCCAGGTTTCTCAGCCAGAAAAGGTACAAACACATTTTTATTTTCTTAACTTGTCAGGAAAAGTGGATTTTCATATTTTCTATCAAGGAAAAAAGTTTTAAAACACTTTGAATCCAAATGAGTTCACGGATCTCAGGGTCAAATTTATCCTGTTAGAATACATGCGTGAGGAATTAACCTAGTGTTTCTAATACCACTAAAACTCATGAAGCGTTCAGAAATGCATGAGTGCTATTAATAGAAAATGAACTGCTATTTAGTCTGATTCGTAAGGAATATGTTTGCAACTTTCTGGGAAGTAGGAAGGATCTCTAAAAGGTAAGTCGGAGAAAGAAATGAGAAAAAGAGAAAGAAAGCATTTAATTAAAAATCCATTTATATATAACTGTATTATAGGTTTTGGAATATAAATATGTGAAAATGGTGCTTGTGCATTGATTTAAAGGAAAGCACATTTGAGTCATCCAAATCCATTTAGAAAGGGAAAAGTTTTAATCAAGCTTTTACATCTACTGTATATATATAGTAAGAAATCAGAATAGACTTAACATCAATGAATTAACACACGTGCATTATATATAACTATTCATACTAAAGGAATAACATGATGCTCTGGTTGAGATCAAGAAGCCGCTTTTTCCTAAATGCTGTTTACAGGGGCTTAAACTTTTGACAGAAAGCTATTTTCTGGCCGCACCAAAGCATATTTTATTACAGTTAAGCAGTGAGAAAAATAAAATCTCTTGATAATTTGAGGACTTTATTCTTCCACTGTCTGTTTTTTTACTGCTTTTAGTTGCAGCAAAATTATAAACAGCAAGAGTGTGTTTTCCCCTACCCAACCACTTGGCTTTTTCAGAAATGTGAAGTGTGTAAGGGGAGTACTTATTTTTGCAGCAGCAGTGAAAGAAAAATTAGAGGGTAAATATCAGGCTGCTTGCTAATAACAATGGAATGCTTTTCTAAAATCCACAGTTTCTTCATGCCTATCTTGTTATGCCTTTTCTGTAGTTTATTGCTCACTTGCAGGACTATTCATTTGCACTGGCATGCATGGGTATTCTTGTTCACTTACTGTATCAGTAAATGAGTATAAACACAAAGGGTTTACAACTGGTCCACTGCTAATCTTAATTAGCATAACTTCTCCCAGACGTGTCTCAGTGGTTGGTGCACAAGCTCTTTTGCAATACAGTTAATCAGTGTTTTCTGTTCCTGACAGTGGAAATGTTCAAACACTCAAGAAAGAAGAGGTCTTTCTTTATGAAATAGGAGGAAATATTGGTAAGGATGGCTTCTGAACAACTTCTCTTGCTATAATAAGATTGCTTGGCGCTTTGTCCGTGCACTTCACTGAGTGATTGCATTTATTCACATCCCTAATTCTCCCTGACACTGAGACAGAAAGTTAACCTTGGGGAGAATGAAGCAGAAAAGGTGATATGATCGTCATATTAGTAGTACATTATTATCTCTCCTAGAGGAAGATGGCTGCTGTTACAGGTGTTCCTGGTACATATGTTCAATGAAGAAGCATAAAAAGGTTGAATAGAAAGGTGCTTGAAGTTCATCTTCTTCATCTCTTTGTATTGAGGTGTAATAAATGAACTTACAGCCCTTTATGCTCTGCATTACAGTTTTGCTTGCAGGTTCCTACAGGGAAATAACCACTGAAACAGAAAAGTGACCTAGTGATGAAAGACGGTTAGTCTATCCTGCTCTGTGTAACCATTGATTAAAGCCAATAGCAGATCAGCAAGGTTAAGTCCAAAGGATGATTTTGAAAGCAGTTCTAAAATTTTCTTTGATGAATGCAAAAGTACTTTTACACTAGGAATCAGTTCCCAATCACAGTATTTTTCTTATATTGAGAAAACAAACCAAAAAAAAACTAGAAAACACTTCTGTACTGAACTTCTGTATTGTATTGAACATCTTACATTTGCTTTTACCTTTTGAAGCATGGCCTTTTATACTTTATTTGAAGCTTTAAAATTCCATGAATACCCAGTACTTTTGTACTCTGCAATTTAAAATCCTGTATATAATTGCTGTTTTTAGCATTCTTCCTTTTTATCTTTCTACTACTTTAAATCAGTTTTTCTAAACTGAAAAGTTTTAATTTAAATAAAAAATAACACTTTCTTACTTTCCCTACAGAAGATATGTTTTAGTGTTTTTTACAAAGTCTGAAGGCAAAAAATAAGTTACTAAGATATGCGAACACCAGATGAACATATTATCTGCTCTCTTGCATATCCAGTATGTATGCACATTTGCCGTGCCTGTTAAGCAGCTTGTGATCCCAGATGTACAACTGTTTAAAAGGAGGGGACTATCTCTTTTATTATATAGAGGTGTTACTATTTTAGAAAAAGTTTTTGCAACAGAACTCCTGTGAAACTGGAACAAGCTAGTATCACTTAAACATGTGACGGAAACTGTACGTCTCTTTGGAGCAAATATGTGGTCGGTTGTAGATTTATTTATTTATTTTTATTACGGAGTCGGTTAGAAAGTTTAGATGCTTCCTTGGTCTGAATTGTCTGAATTAACAGACAATTTTAACTTTGATCACCTCTTACAAATGCTAGTCTTTATTAATGCTCTCAGCTGAGATAAGAGAAGCTCCCTGATTTTTACCTGCTGTACAGGTAAAACCAGCTGTCCTGATCTTCCGTTTCTTTTCTTCTGCCCGATGGGACTGACTCATGCACAGGGAGCCGAAATGGGAGAAGACTTGACAGGCTCATAATACACTTCTGTGCTTTCACTCATAATTACAATATGAGCAATGCTGCCATGCTTTCCCCTAGCAGATGGGGCTGGTGAAGTCTCCGGACTTTATTTTTTTTGAGTACTCAGTACACTGTAAGGCTTCCAGGCACTGCGCAGAACTTCTGCTATTGCTTTGTGACCAGGAATGGATACAGAAATGATAACTCACTGTCCCTGTGCTCCCATTGAGGGGCTGGTCCAGAAACATGGGTGATACATGGCACACAGGCTGGGATAAAAATGCCAGAGGAAGGACAGGACCTGGCATTGAGAGGGGGTGGAGAGAGCAGAGGGAGCCTACTCAAGCAGGGAGTCTTGCTGGCTTGCCTGCTGCGAGCAGGGTGTCCAGACAGCTGGCAGGCAGACCTGGCTGCAGTGTAGCACCTCTGCTTGCCTCCTGCTTTAGGAGAACATATTTCAAAAACGTCTGGCTGGCACATTAAAGAGATTGCGAGCCATTTAGCCCAACCGCTTGCACGGCAGAGTAGAAGAGGAGCTGTGATGCACATCTGCAAATGCATGAAATGATGCTTTGCCTGTGGGGTAATGGGGGGAGTAAGCAGATCTTGCTGGATCAGCATATGGTATTTTTGTCATAGCTACTCGACATAAATTAATTGCTTGTAGTGCACCAAAACCATTGTACTGCTTTTCCCTCCTTTGATAGTAACCATTGCAAGTGCTATCCAGAAGTACTAACCAAGAGGAGCAGGATGGGGAGTAATGCCTTCTTAGCAAGGACAAACCTTGCTCAAACTTTCGATTTCAGAAAGGGAGAATAACCTGAAATTTAGTGGGCTTCCATGCAAATTTGAATTAACCACAAGAGAACCAGGACCCTGCTTTTCTTTTTTAAAACCTTCACACAGGGGAGCTCCCATGCACCTGATCTGCATGAAGAATCAGACACAGTGCCACAAAGTTGAACTTCCTACAGCTTCCCCAATGACAGTCCCTGCTCTCTTTCCTCTCTGCTCCACTTCTTCCCCTGGCCATGGGAAGGATAAGAGCACTTTTAGGCTTTAGCTGTGTTGTCCATTGTTAAATACCGCAGAGGTAGCTTAAAAAACTAAATGGATCACAGCAGCAACTTTGAAAATAATTTCATTTTGTTGTTGTTGTTGATACTAATGTAACCACACACCTCTTTTTTTTTTTTTCTTTTCTTCTTCCTAGGGGAACGTTGCCTTGATGATGATACCTACATGAAGGACCTATACCAGCTCAACCCAAATGCTGAGTGGGTTATAAAACCTAAGCAGAGTTAAGCTCACAACAAATGGCAAAAGAACAAACAACCTGTGGACTTTTAATGCTGAATGTTTCAAAGGGATAGCTTGTCCTTTCAACATTCAACTGTATTATATGTATTAATAGAAAACTACCTTGTTTAAAAAAATAAGGTGGTGGAAACCCAACAGTGATTACCAGTAAATTTTCACTTTTACTTACAGCAAAATATCAGAGATAACAAATGAGTGGGAAAACTGTGTTATGAGAATAAGTCAGTTAAATATTTTAATGGCACTAATCTACCTTGATGATATGCCCATCTGGTAGGCTTTGTTTCAGAAGAATTTATTTTTCAAACAGATGCTTAACCTCTTTATATTAGAGATCTACAATCTGTTTGTGTAGAAGTGTATGTTCATGTAGGTTTTTGCAGTGTTATTACACTGGAGAACCAAATCCTGATCAGCACTTCTGGATGGTACAGTATTAAAAATATTTAAAACTGTTTCCCAAGTAAGTGTGAAATTCACAGGAAAAACCTGCAACACAATATATTTCGTCTTTGGAAATCCTAATTTTTTCACTTTCTAAATGAAAAAAAAAACTATTTGGAAAAAAAACAACAACAACGACTGTGAAAATGCTTTCTATGCAGCTTTTTTGCTAGATATTTTAAATATTTTTTATTCTTATTCTGGTTGATTGTATTCTTGATACTATTTTTTTAATAGGACCATATGACAAGGTGAGTAATTTTGAAGCTCACCACTCCTGGCAGTGTCCTTTCTGGAATATTGTCATCTACTAGAAAGACCTCTAGGTTTTTCAGCAGTGATAATGCAGACATGTTGCATAAACTGGTTCCAGGTTTTTAGGACATCTGATAGAATGCAGAGCATTTTGTGAACTGCCAAAACCTGCCAATTACTAGCACAATAAAAACTTTCAGGATTAATAAAATAAAATAGCTGTGGAGAGAAACTGTAGGCTTGGTTTCATAGCTAGCAAACCACCAACCTTTCACTCAAAATCAGTGTAAAGGTCTGCCGTGGAGTTTATGTAGGCTTTTTGGATGTTATCTACCATCTGGGCTATCATAGATGAGGCTAGAAATCAAGTCCTGATTTCCTTGACTGATACTGTCTAAACCACTTAAAAATTAATAGTCCAACAATGAACAATTGCAAATCCTTCTCTTTGCAAGGGAAAGACTGAAAGCTCCCTGTGGAATTCGCTGATAATGAATTATAGACTGACATGGCTTATTGCAGCGCGAAGAGCTGTGGACTGTAGCGTCAGAGCCCAGGTCCCACAGCAATGCTTTGGGCTCACTAACCTGTGTACCGCTTTACAATTTATTTGAAAACTAGCTCACCAGTGCTTAAGTGCTCATACCTGTGTGCTGACTACCTGAAGTAACTACTGTGAAATTATAGCTTAGGAACTAAGTATTTTCTTTCAATGCACACACAATTAGATTGACCTCTTAGGGAATATTCTACATACAATCAAGGACTGGATTAGATTTTTTTTTGACTTGATCAAAGCTGATTAAAGGAATCAAGGGCCTTTCTGCTGAGCTTTGGATATGGGCCCTGTGCTGTTCCCAAAATAACCACTGGAACTCTCCATTTTCTGTACAAGCAGTGAAAGAAAACTCTGAAAGGTCATCAAAAAATTAGGCACCTACTGATTAGTTATCCACAGCGTACGAACAATTTGGGGGGTGTAAGTATTTATTGTTTTTTAACAGCTATCTTGATTGGGAGAGCATGTAGGGAAGGATTCTCAAATGCAGGGTGAATGAAATGTGAAATTGTTCTAATGTGGTTGTACTGCCCCCGCTGCTCCATCTCGTCAGGTACCCCTACATGCTGTTGCACTGTGCCATTATGGGCAAACCCCGTGAGACAAATAGTTTTTGTCAATAGAACAAAACACACCCGCTGTCCTTTAAACATAAGGGACAGAGAAACGGTGAAATACTTAGGTAAATATTTATGAATCTAATGTAATAAATAGAAGATGTTTTGTCATGTAATACAAAAATGATGTGTGTTCTTTATAGTTCTGTAAAAGATTGCTTGCTACTGCAGTGCTAGCTGTTATTTTAAGCAGGAGCAAAGTGCAGAGGATAGAACAGCTGTACAGTTTCAGCGTAAAATTACAACCACCCTCTGGCTATGATCTTTTAAATAACTTTGTTTCTGGTTTAGTGCCATTATCTTTTTTAATTTAAAAAGCTCTTTTATAATTAAATATGTTTTTTTTTTCTGAATTCTCTTCTCATTTATTGTGTTAGCATGCAAAACACAAACGACACCAAGCGGCGGTTACTTTTTAATTTCACAGTTTACATCTTTGCAGGTAGTTTTGTAGTTTTGTGTGTGAAGAGAGAGCCTGCTCGGTATGTTAACAGCAGCCTCACAGCCCCGGGGGTGAAGGCCGCAGCAGGCCGTGCAGGCTGCCCAGCACCCTGAGGTAACACCTTGCGAGGCAAGGGACCAGCTGCCTGCTGGGTGCCCACTGAAACCTCCGTCTCTCTACCCCTCAGCACCCAAGAATTAAGTGCCACCAGCCCCCAGCTGCCTGCCACCTCCTTGGCTTCTGGGCTGCCCTTCTCCGAGACCTCCAGAGGCCACCATCAGTGGTCCCCTCTGATGCCATCTACCCGGTGTTTCTGGAAAGCCTTCAATAAAACACACACATTTAGTAAGCATTTAAGAGTTAAATTGCAGCAGAAATCTAACTTGGTGAGAGGTTTGCTGAGTGATTTCCTCTAATGCACGTAAATATATCTAAGGATTAGATCTCTGTTGTACTTCTATTTCTGAAAGGTTGCAGCCATGCAAAAAGAATGAAATGTGTATTGCACTAATTTTATAGCAGTGTTCACAATAATTATTTTTTATGTAGAGCAATGCTTATAGGATCTTAAAACCATTATTTGTGTTTGCACACAGACTGCATCTGAGACAGGTAAGTACTTCTCATCTCCATTTAGCAGATGGGAAAACTGTTCATAAATGGCTTGCCTGCAGCCAGAAGGGGCAAAATCAATCTGATTTGTAGAAACCGAATATAATCCTCCAAAAACTGTTTTAAAAATCTGCTGTATCGCCAATAATGGGACTTCAGCAATCACGAATCTGACTTCAGGGGACTGTTTTAATAAATACAATACTGTGGTTTTTAGCCTGGTTTCCAAAGGAAAGGTGTCTGGGGTAATCTCGCTGCCTGTGTGTGTCTTCCCCTAATTACTTTTGAATCTGCTGGCAGACTTCAATCATTTTTGGCAAAGGGAGTGGGGGAAGGGAATGTCTCAAAAATAATTAAATTTCTACAAGCTTCATAAAACGAGACAACTGGAAGGAAGACATAGGCAGGACAAGTCCTTTGATCAAAGGAAGGATGACAGCATAAATTCAACCTTTATTTAAGCACTGGAACAGAGGCAGGAGAGAGGACGTGTGGGTGCTCTGACTGTGGAAGGAGCCCAGAGGCAGTTTGCATCGCCCGTGCTCGTGAAAGCCCTCGCCTGCCTTAAAGTCTTAGGAGGCTTCCTTGCTGTCTTGTTGCGAGTAATTGCTGCTTGTGCTGCAGCTGTTCTCGTGAGCTGGCTTTTGTGGTGCAGCTTCTCCATAGCTTCTGATTAGTGTGGCTCCTCCCTTTTGGGCTCAGCGCCTAAACGCACACCCTCCCTGCTGAGCTGTGCCCACAGTTAATGCAGTTACCTGGGAGGTGGGTGGCAGTGTGTCTGCTCCCTATTCTTGTAGGTCTCTTGGGAGTTACCTCCATCCTGGACAAAGATCAGGTCTGAAACAGGCCAGTATGAAATGGTAGATTTCACAAGGAGTAGCAGGAACAAAACTTGCCTTTCAAGTTGTTCTGAATGATGCGGAAGTGCTGGTTCAAAATCTCTACAGATGTTACTGCTCCCTGCTTGCTCACTTTTGGGATAATTGAAAGGATCTGATGTTCTTTTACTGTCTCCGTAAGACCAATAAGCAGCATTCATTCATGCTGAGAGCCAAAGTCTGTGTATTTTACCAGTATTTCTTACCATTATACCTCTGTAATGCATTGCTCTCAAAAACGTCTAATTTCTGCTTCAGTTGGCTCAGCTCCTGTGCTCGTGTGTTTAGCCTCCGGATCAGGTCCTGCAGGTAAGCCAGCTGTGGGTTTCTTTCCCATGGGATTCTCTGGGTTTTCAGAGCAGAGAAGCTACTATGTGGTTACATGAAGGTGTGTTTGCCATCCATCCTAATTCACTGCTGTGCTGGGATAGCAAGCGAGGGGCTGGAGCCATGGTGGATGCATGCCCGTACCTCCCCATTGGACAGGACATGGCCAGCCACGTGTCTGCCCCTGGTGTGTCTGTGACTGACTGTGTAGCTCCACTGCCTCTGCTCGGTGTTCCTCACAGTGTGGGAGCAGCACGTGGCAGCCCAGGGCTGGTGCTTGCGTGTACACCTCTGCTGGGTACGCGCTGAGAATGCCGGGAGCTGCAACACTGGTTACACACCTCTGATAACCTCTAGTCATCTCTTTGGCAACATAAATAGTAGTGAATCAATACCTGCTGGAGAAGGTGAGAGTTTAAAATACCATATAGTGCTCAGTTAAAATACCATATAGAGATGTGCCCTCTACCTGTGGTCACTCGTGTGTTCCTGTCTGTTTTTGTGCTGTGCTTCCCGACATCCGTACTGGCAGCCTTTTGACTTCCTAAACTGAGGTATTTAAATTAATGTTTTACTTATACCTGCAGATAGTCACAAGGTACGTAACTCATTTATCTGAGGTGATGCCTCAGTGATGTACAACTGCAGTGTGCAGTTGTCTGGATGTGGTGAAACTGTGAGGACTGAAATGCGCAGAAGAATCTCACAAGCTTATGTGAGTTACTGCAGTAGCCTTTGCTGGTTGTCAACGTGCAAATGTGTAACTTGCTCCAAGTGACCCAGAATAAATGAGGGAACACATAGTTGTTCAGAAAAGCTCAAGCATCTGATTGAGGGTCCAAGCCTTGGGCTGCATTAAATTAGCACCTGGAAAACAGTTTATTGCTTATTCACTTTTTTTCCCTAATCCAAGAAGAGATAATTAATTAAAGTCTTGCCTTCTGATTTTGGATTAGTCTGAAACATTGTATATGTAACCTAATATAATTGCCTTAATCATATTGTATGCTCCCACATTTTGTTGTATAAGATGTAAAGCAAATGAGCTCCCAAACTCTTACTCTGGATGCTCATCCTCTGCCAGAAACCATCCTTATTTATGAATCTGATTAAGTCTGCATGAACAGAGGATTTTTTTTTTCTTTTATTTTTTATTTTTTTTTCTTCCAGCAGGAACCACAGCCTGAGTAGGTGAAAAGGTGTTGAGGCTCTCATTGTGGGGAGCTGCACATCCGTGAAAGACAGAGCTGAGAATTGCCTATCTCAGTATTCCAGTCTGGCTCCTTTTCTTCTGTGCAGTCTCATGCTTACTCAGTACAGTATTTTGCTTCTCTGACTGTAAAATCTTGGGATGCAGCCAAGTGACATCCATCAGGGATGTTGTGTTTTGTTTAAAATACTTGATCTTCAAATAAGCTGTATCTCGTAGGGGTATAAGGATGATAGAGATAAGAGCAACTTTGTGAAACCATTATTGTGCAGTCTTGGAATCCTAGCTAAAACCTGTCCTTGTGCTTTTAATTTACTATTTTGAACCAAAAAAAAAAAAAAAGACTTTCTTTTCATTGGGTTTAGCAGGGAGACAAAGGGCAACTCTGGCATAGTTACAAGTTCAGATATATTTTTTTTGCAAAAAGAGGTCAGAAAACATACTATGCAAAACCCTTTTTAGTCATTTAACCTTTCCTATAAAAAAAAAAAAAAAAAAGCAATTTTTTTTTTTTGTAATAAAATACAATTGTAACAAAATACAAATACTGCAGGGAAGGTATTCTGATTTTGCTCCCGTTCTGCTTGGCTAGATGGTAGAGAGAATTATTCTGGAAAAAAATAATATCTTTGTGTGAATATGAAATAGAGTACTTCTTGATTATTCCAATTCCTTCCAAGTTGACAATCAATTCTGTAGACCAAATGTTACTGTCATCCATGCAGAAATGCTTCATCAGATGTCTTCTACGAAGAGCTGAAAGCAGAGAACACCCATGCCCCAGTCAGCCTGGAGTGAGGAAATGTTCCCCTCTAGATGGTGTGTGTGCTTTGCTTGTTTCCTTCTTTTTAAATTGGGTGTTTTTTTTTTTTTTTTTTTTTTTTGCTCTCTTTGAAGGCTGTAGTTGGGAATATTGAAAAGTGAGTATAATTAGAAGTATTTTTCTGTACAACCACAATGTGGATGTTTTGGGAGTAAATATGAAATACACATGATTACAATAATATGCTCTTCGTTTTTCTTAAGAATTTCTAGTTGCTTAAATCTGCTTGGATCATTGTAAGAGGAATCAACTTAATAATGAAAGACTTGCCAAGCAAGTCCAAAACACTGTTGGTAGGGCTAGGAAAAAAAAAAAAATCTCCTGAATTTTACCTGTAGCTATGGTGTAGCCTGAATTCTAAAAGGCATATTTTGATATGCTAATGAAGACAGGACTGATGGTGTCCCATATACATGTATGTTTATTGTGTGCTGTCTCCCGAGCCATTGTACAGGTGAGATGTCCTTAATCTTATAAAATAATATCCTAAAGATTCTCTTAAAAAATGCTGTGTGGGCAATACTGATTAGAGTGGCTATTTTTCATTTATCTCTACCTTTACTTTTAACTAATTTTAGCCCTCCCAATTTTTATAAAGCCCATTAGCAATATGCAAAAAGTGTGTTTAATTGCTTTTGAACCTCTTCAAGCTGATGGCATTCACCACATCCTGTGGAAATGAGTTTTTCAGTTAACTGTGTGTTGTCCCTTTGGAAGGGACTTCCTCACACAGTAAACAGTCCTACGTGTTCAACTTTGTCATGTCTCTTACGGTTTCATAGGCCTTCTTGGTTTTATCTTTTCTCTGGTCAGAGTTGCAGCTCTTTTCATTGTCCTATGTGCAGAAACCATTCCAGAACTTTGGTCATCTACACTGCTCTAGTCTGAACCTTTTCTTGTTTTGCTCTGTCCTTTCAAGTTAGGGGAAATCAGAAAGGTACTTTGCAGTTGCACGTTTTCAGAAGGTGAGTATGCAGTGGTCTATAGCAATTCTGTTGTTCTTTGTACCTTAATGATTTTGTGTGTGTGTGTGTGCATTTTTAATCACCAAGTTGACTTTTTCATTATTATTTGTATTAAATCAGTGATCTTTCCTGTCTGCTGGTGGACAGTTAAAAGTCAATCACTGTGTATGCTGTTGAAGACCTTTTTTTCCCCTATTAATTGCGAAACTTACCAACACTGAATTTCATCTGTCATTTTTTCACTAGTCAGTCCTGAGGTCACCAACGTCATGAGGTCCATCTGGAGCTCTCTGCAGTTTATTTAAAACCTTCAGTAATTCAGTATTAGCAACCACCTTTATTGCTTCACTTATTCACTCCCACCTCCAGACTGGTTGTGGCTGTGTTGAAGGGCATGAACCTGAGCATTACACCTGCCTGCAGTGAGACCGTGTGTTTGTACCTTTTCTTACTTCGTAAACAGATGTTTATCCATGTGAGAACTTTTTCTTCCAATCTTCTTCCACCCTTCCAGCAACTTTATTTCTTAATTAAGACTTTTGTTGACTATTTTTGGGGGGGAGATCTTTCTCATCCATGTGCTATGGACTTCCTCAAAAACTCTCCAACAGGTTCGGGAGTCATGACCTTACAGAACTGTGCTCTTCAGGAAAGGTTTACTACAGCTAGCAATTCAGCTGTGTCACTTGAATTCTTCTTAATTTGTGGGTGAAGACCATCTGGTGCCGGTAAGTAGCTAGTGTTAATTTTCTTAATTTTATTTTTAATTGCAGCTTCTCTGATCTCCAAGCCTCTTCCAGTATGTGACAGTCAGTGGTATGCTCATGGCTGGGTCAGAACAGCATGTTCTTCCTTTCTCTGCCTAGGATTTGAATCCATAGGCTATCTGTTATTTCTCTGTAAATCCACATCTCTCCCTCGTGTATGGAATTTGTATCTAAGATTACTACATTCTGCAGCATATTAGTCCTCCCTCTGCTCCCTTCCCTCCCCACCCCGGTTTTTGATATTCCCATTGTAATAATATTCTTAATCAAAACTAGGTGTGTGTGTTTATATATATATATATATATATATATATATATATATATATATACACGTAATTATACATATATATATATATATATATATATATATATATATATATATATATATATATATATATATGTTTAAAGACTTCTGGTCATATTTCCCTCCCTCTCTCCCCCCTGTTAAATGGCACTCTTCTGCTCCACTCTGTCACTTGCCTTTATTGGAAATTGTGGAGCTTTTCTGTAGGTGATGTCGCTCTGAACAGTATGCTCTTCTACATCTGCCTTTGATTTAAAATTTTCCCATAACCTTGAAAGTGATAGCAACATGGTTCTTTTTGGACTTAGGTAAAGGATATTTTTCTCGTACAATTTTTCCTCTCTTCCTTCTGTTCCAGAAATTTCCTCAGATGCCACGGGACCTTCTGTACCACTTCTTGTAATATTGTAAGGTACATTGCAGAGAATGTTACCACTGGTGGTGCAGTCTTTAACTTACTACCTAGTCTACTTTTTGTTTGTAAAAGTATAGACCACAAAACAGATCCCCTCCCCTCGTAGCTTTCTTCACAGCTTATGAGGTTTTTAACCCTTTAGGCCATTTAGTCTCAAAAGTCACAGATAGGAACAGTTTCAGCGATAGCTCACAGTATTGTCTGCCCTTCTAAGAACAAGGGCCACTGTCCTGACCCCATTTACAGAATGACTTCCTGTATTCATTAACATGATCTCTCACTATGAGGCTTCTTGCTACATCAGCTCCACCACAGAGATGGTAACTTCATGTATTTTTAGCTAAGGAACAAGTGGAACAGTTCAGGTGGACTCCGTTGGTTTCTAGCACCTGGACAGGCACAGAGCTGTTGATGGCACACAAGCTGCTGCTAGTGTGAACCTCTGCTTCTCACACAAGCTGAGCCAGGGATGTTGCAGGTGCTGACACTGTTGGAGTGCCTTGGTGACAAGCTTCATGGTTGTCTCGAGACCCTTGGGGAATCACTGTGCCTAGACTGCTCATCTTTTCCATGCTGCAGTGTCAAGACCTGTGCTTTGAAGCTTCTGCCATGATTATGGATATGTTTTGTAGGAGCAGCATTGTTGGCCTGCTCCTTTGCACTATTGTAGCATTTTGTACATGGTGGAAGGAGTTCAAGAGTGTCCAGATCCCTGTGCAGTTTGCCTTTGAATGCTGTCTTAAATATATATAAATGTAAATTTTGCTTCAGACATGTCAATGCAGCTGTAAGACCTTTCTATTGCCCTGTAACACCTTCCCTGTAGTGTGCTACTCAAAGGATGTGATTCTCACCTGTGGGCAGCTCTGCTTTTCTTTACCTTTTAAATATTTTACTTCTAAGTTTTGCAGCCAGTTTCTGTTGGACTCCGTCCTGGAGCAGCTCCCAGTTCACAAAAGCACAGCAATTCTCTCATGGGATTCACTTAAATAAAGTGGCTGGGACCCTGGCACATTAGCAGCACAACAGTTTATGTCAAGGTGTGCTTTGGTGTACGAGGCAGGAGGAATTGTGCTTCCTAAATAGGGCTTTGTAATTTCTTTGCTTAATGTTGTGTGAAACACTTACAGTGCCTCTTGAGACTGAGGTTTTTGTCTCCTTAACAGGCTGCATCAGAAGAGGCAGTGAAAGTTTCAAACCACTCATTCCTTGCACTGCCAGTCCTCAGCTCTCATCTGCAGCAGCTCTCCTTCAGGGCTCCAGGTCACATTTGAAAGCACACAAACACTTGCCAGCACCCCTGACCCTACGGCCCTGAGAGCTTGCTGAAGAACCAAAATGAGCAGAAGTGAAGTGTAAACCTGCTTTCTCCCTGCTTTTTCAAAAGAGAGTGCCTCTGGAAGGTCAGCACTGCACTGAAACTGTCCCTGTGAAGGCCACCTGTTTTGATGGGGTACCTCTGAGTGGCATTTCAGAAACTGAGGCTTGTTGGATTGTTGGTTTTCTCATCAAGGGTTTTTTCCAGCACTTCCTCTGCTTTCTGACAACTTGATTATTAATTACTACTAAAAGAAAATCTTGTTTGAATGCAACTTTCCCCTTATATTGTTTGAATCCTAATTGACTTTTTTGTCCTTCCAGTTCAGAAAGTATTTTCTTTTCCAACTCATAGTTTTTTTCCTCCTTCCACCCCTTTTTATTGCTTTCTAGTATACCTGTGCTGTTTCAGCATCCCCGTGACCTCAAAGGCAGCCATGCCACGTGGACCTGAAGAAGGGCAGCAGCGTATGCTTTATATTTGTAACCGAGCAGCTAGGTTTCTGCAGGCACTCCACATATTCAGGCTTACAGTGACTGCAAGCACCAGCAGCCCTGTGCCCTTAAGATTTGTCTCTTCATTCTCATCAAAGACCTGCTTAGAAATGTTAAACAACCTCTGTAATTACCCAGTCTTTCTTAAATCCTTTTTCATGTGTCACACTTCTCACAAATGCAGTTCATTTCTGAATGAAATAGCGTAAGTACAAATGATCTTTTCTAAAGTTATTAATGTGTTTCTCCTCTAACCTTTTGTATCACTTTTAAGTATTTACTGTGTCAGGAATGCCTTGGCTGAGCATATTTCAGTATGACTTTTATCTGCTTTTGGCTTCATTTAGTGTAATTGGTCCTCATCAATGCACCTGCTGTCTAGTCTCTGGTGAGGGGGTGGGAGAACAAAGAAGCTGGATTTTTTAGTGTCAGATACAGAACATTAATCTCAGAAGTTATGGCAACGGCCAGGTCTTCAGTATGGAGCCCCACTTTTACCCTTAGTTATGGTTAGTGTATAAAAACTGGTTTAGCTCAGGGATGGGCAGAAATTTCAGAAGACAGAGGGCAATTTGAACTTTGAAGAAAAGTACCGCGTTTGTTCCTAAACTAGAAGTCCCTGCAAATTTACTTTAATATAGCATTTCCTTGTGTCCCTTCCCCCAGGAAGAGCTTTTTGCTGTTCCACTTCAGACTGTCCTCAAAGTTTACTTATCTACCTCTGAAGGGGAAAAAAAAAACAACACAAACACACACACAACCTTACAGAACAAGTTGAACCATCTTATATCAGAACAGAAAAATGTGAAGTAAGCAGAATTCAGCCTAATTGTCTCTGGTGTCTCACTGAAGTTTATTAAGGAACAGATGGGTCAGCTGTAACTTTTATGGGCCAGGTTTTCATATGAACGTACTATTTTTTTTTCTTTTTTCCCTAAGAGCATGATCCAATGTGATCATTAAACAATGTGGTACTTAAACAGTGAGATATCGGTTAGCAGGTAGTTAATTCTTTTTAGCAACTGAACTTATATCAGCTAGCACATTTTTTTCTTTTTAATTCCATTTTCAGTAATTAGGCATAATTTGCTACAAATTATCCATAAGAAAGACTGGGCTTTGTATTCATTTGCTTCTAAAGTTGGCATGTGGAAAATACTTCCTTTTCTTACTATACTGGAAATATTTTAGGGAACTGAAGAGAACTAACTGGGCAAGCAATTTTCAAAGACAGATGAGCACATTTTTAAGTGGTTGCTCTTTCAAAAGGTCTGTGCCTTTATTGCTAAAGCTACAGTTTGATGCTTGGATTTTACATTCTAACAAAAACTATTAAAAGCAAATTAAAACAAACAAACAAACAACAAACCACCCACCTGTATTGATCAGACACCAATCCTATCCTGCAGTTCAGAAGTGTGCACTTTGAATAGCCTGCATGGCAGAATGAGTTTCTCATTCTCTTTGCTCAGCTCTGTAGGAAATGAGATTACTTCTCAGTTTTGTAGGCAGAAAAAAATTAGAAAAAGATATATGCTGTGAAATGTAATACAAAATGAAACTGGAAGCATCCCTGTTCCTTGTTTTACAACATGTGCAGAGGGGAATGCTCGGTGAAACTGAACAATGTCAAATCAATATCTATCAAAATCTGAAATTGAATATTTATATAAATAACAAGGGGCTGATGTTGCAGCAAGCAAAGGGAAGTTTCAACTGGCTTGTTATGTGGTTTGGACTGAATGCTACATTCTTCAGCTGGAAGTGACAGCAGCATGATGTAGGATCTTGTTTGCTGCAAGCTGAACAAGATAGCCTATTCAAAGAGACTTGTAGGAGCTTGAGGCTGGTGTAATTTGTTTTGTTGAGAAGGGGTCTTCTGGGATAAAAGCACTGGGAGTAATGACAACAGCTGGGAGAGATGGGTGAAAGTTTTCTTGTGATTTCATAAACTCCATTGAGGTATTTGTATAGCCCAACAGTGGTTTTGTTTGTTTGTTTGTTTGTTTTTTCCTTCTGGGAGACAGGCCTTCAATACAGGATTTCCTTTACTTAGGAAAAAGTGTGAGGTGAGGCCAGTCTGTGGGAGGGGATGCTACATGCAGAGATGATGAAGTTTCAAAAGAGAGCTTCTTCTGCATGTTCATAAGCCATTCTGTACTTGTCAGGAATATGTCTGAACCCATTATTCTCTGGTCTGTGCACTGAAGCGTCCTTGAACCTAATGTATCACCAATATGTCTGTGGCTGCTCTCTGAACACTTGGAGTAGATGAGGTCTGATTGGAAGCAGCAATTCCCATGTCCTAATGGGCCGGTGAAGTATCATGGCCAAAGAAGTGAAGAGGTGGGTAGAAATTATGAGCTCTACTGGGAAGTGGTGACAGAGAGCCAAGCTGAGTTCATAGGCTCTTGAGAGCAACATGACCTAGGTACAGTCACAGTCCTTATAGGGCTCCCGGGCCACGTTCTTCAGAGAAGGACCCAGTTAGTGAAGGCACTGAGAACTACCAAGGTTACGGTAGAGATAGGGACAGCAACTATTAGCCAGTATTGTAGGACTTGGGGTTTAGGGGAAAAATTTATGCTTAGAATCATAGAATCATTTAGTTTTGAAAAGACCTCTAAGATCATCAAGTCCAACTCTTGACCTAGCACTGCCAAGTCTACCACTAAACCATGTCCCTAAGCACCAGTTCTGCACATCTTTTAAATACCTGCAGGGATAGTGGCTCAACTACTTCCGTGGGCAGCCTGTTCCAATGCCTCACAACCCTTTCAGTGAAGAAATTTTTCCTACTATCCAACCTAAACCTCCCTGGCATAACTTGAGGTCATTTCCTCTTGTCCCATTGCTTGTTGCTTAGAAGAAGAGACCGACACCCACCCTTCTAGAACCTCCTTTCAGGTTGTTTCAGAGAGCAATAAGGTCTCCCCTGAGCTTCCTCTTCTCCAGACTAAACAACCCCATTTGCCTCAGCTGCTCCTCAGACGACGTGTGTTCCAGGCCCTTCACCAGCTTTGTAGCCCTTCTCTGGACACACTAAGGCCTTGGTGTCCTTCTTGTAGTGAGGGGCCCAAAGCTGAACACAGTACTCAAGTTGCAGGTTCACCAGAGCTGAGCACAGGGAATGGACAATCACTTGGTCCTGCTGGCCATGCTATTTCTGATACAAGCCAGGATGTTTTGGCCTTCTTGGCTTGCCCCAGCCTCAGAAGTGAACTAGTGTTATATATGTCAGGATGTCTTTGAAGGGAAAATTATTCATGTTCTCCAATAACAAAAATATTTTTAATAATGTCATCAGTCTGTTCTTCCACAGTCAATAGCATTTATACACTTGAAAGAAGGAGGACTTATGAAATGTGTACTGTATAGTGTTTTGTTACATATTAGTAACACTTTCCCAATCTTCATCCTTAGGCTGGATCAAGAAGCCATAATAGAGAGGATGACATTGTTAATGACATTGCTCTATTAGTAACTTGGTCTGCAATTGCTGCAATTGCACTTTAGGCAGGGTTGAGTTTCTGTTCATGAAAAAGAACTGAGATGCATGTTGAGACCCAAAACTTCATTCTGCAAAGATTCCCAGACATTAACCTGCTTAGAAATGAATGCAAAAGATTTAGAGTAACATTATTTTTACAGGTTTTTAAAATTTCCCTCATGAACACGATATTTACCTGTCTGCCAACTCTGCACCTTTTGTGGACCTTTCAGCTCCTGGGGAAAAAAAAAAAAAAAAAAAAAAAAGGTGGAGAGTTAAGAAAAAAAAATCTATTAAAGTATTTGGAATTCATTCACATAAGGATTTGCCATTTCGTTGAAGATATGAAAGCTGTGTTAGCCTTTAATTCTGTGTACTGACCTGCAGTGGGGAACAGGGAAGATGTATAGATCCTTTTTTTCTTAATATACAGTTCTCACTGTATCCCACTGAGTACCATACTGAAAATTGACCATGAAACATTTCAAAGAAGGGGTGTCAGTAATGGATGTTTTTGATATGATATTAAGTTGAATTGAAAAGATTAAAAATATTATTAATAATAATAATAATAAATTACTTTGACTGTAAGTAAACTTAATATACTCTAAGTCAAAGCCATTGAGGAGGCTCTGCAGCATTCAAATTGCTTGCCTCTTCTCACTGTAGTTGATACTATCCTGGTAGTCTCCATGGTTATGGATACACATGGAACTTTGTAATAAATTTTACTTCCATAGAAGCTGTTATGCATGTTTATGCTACAACACCGAAATATGACAAATAACCCTATCTGCTGTTGTGTTAATGTGTTAATCCCATTTTATAAGTGTATGAAGAGTTCTAATACCATCTTCTAATACCAACAAGAGAACCATCTAGCAATAGCTGTCGGAGGAAAAGGAAAAACAGAGCTACTGAGCAAGAAGCCCGGCTGCACAGCTCCATGCTGGTCTGTCTTCTGAAGCCTCCTGAGAAAGCAGCACCACGACAAGCTTAACACGTACTGTACATACAATAATTACATCTATGTCAGCTGGCATTATTTTAAACAAGTCCTTAAAGTAGAGAGGTTGGATAGTGTGTCTGATAGTGAACTGCAAGGAATTTAGAAATGTAGTAATAAAATGCTGGCTGGAGTATTGCTCAGAGTGAATTACCTCAAATATGAGGTAATTCAAATATGTTTGCAGTTTCTGATTCTGCAGTGCTTCCTCTAATTTCTCAGTTGCCTTGAAGGGACAGTAGTTCTCTGTCAGCTTACTCAGGCTGGGTTTGCAGACAACATGGCGAATGTTGTTGGGGCAGGCACAAAGAGGGCAGGGGGGAGGACAGGAAACTGGAAAGTCAGAAACTGAGGAAGAAATAGAATGTCTCAATGGGCAGGGCAAAAGGAGTTATTTTAGCATGGTGTAAGTTGTTATCTCCCTTGAAGAGGGAGAAACCAACTAGAAAAATAAAAACAAAACAAACAAACAAAAAACACAAACACAAAAAAAACAAACAAGCCCCCCCACACACACACAAAAAACCAACAACCAGTGGTTCCTGAGAGCCATGCAGTTGCTCTCTGAGCAATAGAGTAATTTTATCTATGTTGCTACAATGGCTGTCTCTTCCATGCACTTGTCCCATTAAATAGGCTTCAAGATAAGGTGGTGACTGATGAATTCTGTTCTTTAGTTTGAAATTGCACTAACTATAACCAGATCAGCAAGAGACAGACTTGAAAATATGTGCATGTCTAATCTGCTGTGAAAAAATGAAGATGACACACCTTTTTAAAATAAGTTCTTGTAAATTCCCATGGATGAGGATGTCCGTTTTGAGGGAAGGAGCATGAGGAAGTAGAGGGATGGAACTGAGTTGAATTCATCTTGCTTTTTAAACCAACATCACTTTGTACTCTGCAAGCATAAAAGGGTTTGTTATGGCCATGGGCCTTCTTTAGAGATACTTGCTTGCCAGCCGTCATGCCACAATAAGGGAGGGGAATATGAGATTATATATCATCCCTGTGTAACGTAAGACTAGATTTCTACAAGCTGTCCATGTGCTTGGAGAGCCTGGGTGACTGATAGCTGTATGCCACTGGCAGTGTTGGCAGCAATCCAGAAAGAAAAAATGGTTCAAAACTGCTCCCAGACTAACCATCCCCTGGGAATTTCTGCCTGTGCCATCTCTTCAAGGAGACTGCAATTTCTGGGGATACACCTGGGCTGCCTCCAATTCAGGACTGCTAGCAGCAGGAATAGGTGATATGGATGCTGTGCATGTGTGGGGCCGCAGCTGAGTCTCTGTACAGTCCTTGGATCATTTAAGTTGGAAAAGCCCTTTAAGATCATCAATGCCAAACAGCAACCTATAGTCCACGTGGAGACCTTTCTACAGTATTTGCTGCTGTTTGTGTGTATCACAGCCAGAGTGTACGCTCTGTTAGCAATTTTTAACTTGGCAGTGTATCAGTACACAGCAAAGAAAGTGCTGTGTGATCACTTGAACACCCTTGCAGAGAAAATAAAGGAATTAGGCCTCTGCAGCACATTTTTGTTTTATAGACCTGTGGCACACCTCGTGTTCTGGATGAGCTGGGTTTGGGCAGAGGGATGCTGATGACTGCAATCAGTTTTACTGAAACAATGGACCAGCTGCACCTGGGTTTTGATGCTATTCCTGTGCTGGAACTTAAGCAGTGACAGCACTGCAGCTTGCTGTATATCTTTACTAGTTATTTGCCTCACTGATTTTCTCAGGATACACCAAATTGATACATAAATTTCCCTGACTGCCCAAGCAATCCTAATTGTAACTGGGATAAATCCAGAACTGAGTCTTAGACTGAGGGCTGTGAAAGATGTGACTAATCCTGGACCTATACCACCAGGTAAATTCTACTATGCTATGTACTGTCCTATAGTTTGTATATAAAGACTATAAAAATTAAAGCCAATGCTCAGCATAGAAAAGAAGTACATTTTCTGAGAAGTCTGAAAAAAACACCAACCACAAAGCAAAACAACAAGAGAAAGCAAAGCAAAACAACAAAAACACAAAACCAGGACTCAGATCCAGGAATTTAATTCTATTTATAGTATTTATAAATCCTGTTCTCCCTTGTTTACTAGTTGAGAACCTTGCTGAGTAGCTTGAACTGTTACATCTGGATTCACATCACATTTTTTGGGCAGGCAAGCCATAGCAAATCTTAACTGCAGTCTTAAAAAGCAAATTAAACAAAAAGATGTGTTAAAGATCCTAACTGTAGTGTTTTAGATATCTGAAATTTCAATACAGCAGTCAGAAGTCTCTTGGTGACTGCTGTTTAAAGAAATATGTATATATATATATTAGTTTTCTCTGCTGTCACCCAGTGGTGCTACTGTCTTTACACTCTTTTCCCTCACCTGCCTTCCTTTTTGATGTCCTTTTCCATTAGAAAAAAACAAATAAAACACCTCAGTTAAATGAGGCACAACACATTGACCATGCACACCAAACTTTTAAAAAAGATTTGCCTTGCTGATGTTGTTTCTAAGCTTGTGCTGCAAGGTTCTCAGCTGGCTATCATCCTACAAACCTGCAGTTCCTCTCCTATTAAGGATTAAACCTTAACAGAAATATTAAAAAATAATAGTTGTTGCAAAGCACTGGTAATTTATACATGTAGGTCTTTCATGTGCTTTACACCTGAGCTAGGGAGCATTGATACCCCATGCAGTAAATAATTACTTCTGAGTCACAAGATCTCTTCCTTTATTAGTGCTACCACTTTTCAGGACCAAGGTACACTAGAGCTACTCAGGCATGAACAAGGAAAGTCTGTTTTTGGTAGATCTGTACATAATTCTTTAGCATGCTATGTTAGAAACCATAACAGTGTCTTACTAATTTTTGATGGAGATTAGCATATAGGAAACTAAAGGCAGAAGTGGCAAAGGAGAAACAGCTGAAGAGGAATGGTGTAGTTAATGTGTCGGATGACTTAATTTCCTGGATTTTATGGGTTTGCAATAGCATGCTACTTGCAGTAAGCCCAGATTACTACTTTTGCTTATTAATAGAAAAATGGATTTCTAAAGCATTTTAAAGATAAGCATTTCATAAATTCCACATTTATTAATCATTTGCATAAAAATGTGTCTGTTCCCAAAATTAGCCTGGTAGTTTAAGGTAGTTTAAGACTTTCAGCTCGTTTTATATTTGAGTTTATTTTATTTTATACATATCAGCAAAAAATGTTTGCATTTTGTTACTAGTTTTGGTAAAAGCTTTTTTTTTCTTCTTTTTTTTTTCTTCTTCTTCTCCTTCATGTTAGCTGGATAGTTGAAATATAGTTTCTAGTTTGAAACTTTGAGAATGAACATAGCTACTTAAACCCCCCCTTTGCATCAGGATTTGCAGGTGTACCCTCATAATGAATTCTAGCAAGAATACCTAGTGTAGCAGCGCTGCCCTGCATTTTCATTCCCTGTGTTAGAAAAACTATTGGTATTTGTGTTATTCAGAGATTATTATCAATAAGCATGAAATTTAAAGTACTTTTGAACCCACGCCAGTATTCTTAACTAGATATTAGCTTCCATTGCTAATGGTACAATGATATTTAAATTACAAAACCATGACAATCAATTTACACTAATAAGTATTTTGGGTAGATTGTGGTGCAGGTGACAGAAATTTCCATCCTTGTCAGGTGGATCCTGTTTTGGGCATCGTTCTGTAAGGGGCCAGATGCACTTGTGGCTGAAGGCAGGGTGTTTGTTTCTGAGAGGTTACTTTGCAATGGCAAACCAACGTGCCTTTTGAGGTGCTGAGACAGAGCCAGGTGACTCAGCCCTATTTGCATTGCTGTAAACATCATGTACTGACACAGAGCTCCAATAACTTTATGACCTTCTCCCCAAATGGAGGTAGTGCACTATGTGGTTGAGATCTTTAAGAATGACTGTGGTTTAGCTAATGCATGCATTAGCAGGGATATTTAAATGTATCTTTCTCCACCGGTTCCTTTTCATTATTCTGGAAAATGAGCTTTAGCTGCTTTGGTTGCTGTACTTGATAAAGCTATGTATGCTTCTTGCACTTCCGCTTCTGGAAAAAAAGTATTGGAGGCCTCAGACTGGCTAATGAAATGAAGAGAGAAACATGGTCGTTAGTTGGAGTGGTGTGGGGCTCTTGAGCCAACTCTTCTACTGTAATGAAGCATTTGATGCTCTTAGGAGACTTGCTTATTTCAGTGGGTAATGGCTCTGTTTATTGAGTTTGCGCAAATGCATTTGATTTAGTCAATTTAGGCTCTGCATTTAAGAAAATTACGAGGGAGGTGGGACTCGATCAGCAAGAGGTAAATTAGTTTGAATGCATATAAAAGGATCTTGCAGAGGGTAAATTTACAGTCAAACTGTCACATGGAAATCATAATATGCAGTACTTGTCAGGTTTGATAAATGAATCAAGATTGTAAAATTGCCCTTACCTTGAGGTGTGCTTGCATTTGACCAGCAACAAAACTGAAGTGCTGCTGTGTCATCTTAAACTGCCTCACAAGAGAGAAACCTACATAAAGCTGGAGTCACTACATTTGAAAAGGGTGAGTTGAAAATCCCTGGAAGCTTGAAAACTGTCCAGCTCCTCTCCCATGTTCCCTGATTTTTGCCCACTGCAACATGTGACAGGTAGGGCTGTGGGTACTGATGTTTCATAGGGGCAGCTGCTATCAAAGCAGAAACCTTGGCTTCTTCAAGTCCTTTCTACTGTGTGCTTTTATTTTCCCTCCCCCTAGTTGTTAGTGATTTTCTCTACCACAGGACTATTTCTAGGTCTAGAGCTAAGCCTATACATCACTCTTTCAAGACTGTAGGGAAAAAATCTTACTTTGTTTTCTTGCTTGCCCCAAATAGCTGCATATGAAGTGGTAGCAAAATGCAGATAGACAAATAGTTTTTTTGTTTTGTAATTAATAATTTTAAAAATTAGTAAAAGGAGTATTGCTACAAAGAAAGAAAACTCATCGCTAAGGTGACTAATTATAGATTACTAGGGCAAAATAATAGGTAGCAGTCAAAATTGTCTATTCTTATATATCACAAAACGGCATGTAACAAAGATGTCACACACACCACAAAGTCAGAGGAACAACCTTTTTTCAATCAAAATCACCACAGAAAAGAGAAAAGCCAGTAAAGATATAAAAAAACATAAGTAAATTAATTAGTGAGGTGGGTTGTTGTTTTTTCCCCGAGGAAAAATTATTTCAAAAATGTTTCAGTGGGAAGGTGGACAGAAAATGGTCCATGGACAAGGCAGCTAAGTGGTAAACTTAATTCTCTGTTTACTCTCGTACTTTTAACAGTTCCGAAGCAGCAGCAACATCTGATATCTTTTATGGAAAAATACTTTAGACACTTTAAAAATGCAATGTGCCAATGCCCGCTGGTAATTGAGAGCACACTGGTACTTTGGTTAAATATATGAAACTACCTAGAAGATTAAAATGACATACCTGCAGGACAATGTATGCTAAGGTGTGATCGCTGTGGCTGTGCTTGCCTTACTTAGTCTTGCGCTGAATATATTAGCACCTTGCAAACTTGTTCTTAGAGCACTGATACGAATGCACATTCAGTTGGTGTACCTCTCTGAACCCTGCCTTACAAGGTTTGAGGTGGCTCTATTGAATTTTAGTTAATAAGGACTGCTCAATCCTTAAATGTAGCTGGAAGGCAGTGCTGTTGCCTTTAGTTTGTATTTTGAAACGTAATGTCTGGATGCAGGGTTCTGTTCGTCTTGGTGGTCCCTCTGTAGGATGGACACCAAACAGCCCAGTCTTGTTTTTTTTTTTTGTTTTGTTTTGTTTTTTGAATTGGTTGGGAACAGAAGTGCTGAGGTACCAACAGGCCAACTCCTGTTCTTATCCCTGCCATCAGAGTGGTTCCAAAGAGTGTTTATCAATATGGTGACAGGCACTTTATACATATAAATATCTTTATAAAAGAGTGTTGAATTTTCAACAATTTTCATTTATTTTATTTTATTTTTTTTAATTGAAAGCAGTGTTGAATTTTCTGACCCATAATAATTTGGTAAAAACAAACAAAAAAACACCACCACAAAACCAAACCCTGCACACTTTTTAAAAACTGAACTATACCCATAAGCATTAGCTTGTCGTTGAACAACTGTAATCTTCAGGAGCTGTGAGCAACACAGTGAGAATATACAGACACTTTGAGTGGATTTTATGGTACATTTTTTCTTTCTGTCATCTACATGAGAAAAGCCAGAAACAAACCACTGTGAGCCATTTTGCATCTGGCTCTGGCGCAGATTTGCAGCTGAAGTACTCCCAGCTGTAGTAACCCTTTTCTCTGCCCTGTTATAATGGCATTCCTGACCTGCTTATTTCCCTCTCAGAACTGTCCACACAGCTGTACGAATGTATAATCTCCTATCTAGATCCAAATTCAGTGTTTTGCGTGTTGTAATCTTTCCCTTCAGTAGGTGAGAAGTGGGTTTTCTCATTTAGACCCAGCCCTTGTAGCAAGTAGTTCTCATATATCATCTTCATCTGAGGACTTTCTGTCTGGCCCTTCTGTCCAGGTGACTGTGGCCTGGAAGAGATGCACTGTAGAATTATCCGTACCCTGGCCTTTTTATTTTGAGATTTTCTACAAAACTGCAGACTTGTAACAGCAGTCAGAAGCCACGTTGATTTCTTTTATATGTTTTTTTTTTTTTTTTACTTGCCTCAGTATCAGTGAATTCTCAACCAGTTTGATCGTCTATTCCAGCCAAATTCACCCCCTTTGTTAAACTATTTGTAGTTTAATGAGAAAAAAATGCTCAGATTATCAAAATGGACTGAATAGTAGCAATAATACAGCCAGTTAGCAGGAAGAAGTGTGCTTGAGTGAATATGTATGAAAGGTTAATTTCTTAAGATGCTGCAGTTCTGTGACAGATGTAAGTGGCTGCGCTTGCATCTCAGGTTTGCTGAGATGGGAATTTGTTTCATTGTGGGAAGCTCAGAAATTTCTTGAGGAACCTATTTAGGGAATTTTAGGTGAGTTGTTTGGTCAGATATTTCTGTACGGATCGAAATGTTTGATATTACTTGGACTTGGAAGTCTTTCTCTAAGCTGGGATTCTGCTGTGTTTAGTCAAGCGTAACACTAACATTGGGTGCCATAGAGAATTGTGGCAGGGTCACCAAGTCCTGTTGGGCAGAAAGCTTTCACCAGTGACATGAAATGAAGTAAAACACCCAGAGTGCAAGCAGGTTGGTCTGCTGCCCCTGGAGTGAGCATGGTTTGCTGCTTGCTGGTCGTGGCATGCTCTGGGCATGCAGCCCTGCTGGTTGAGTGGAAGGAGCAGATCAGCCTCAGCATCTGGGCTCACAAGCCCCAGAGCCAGCAGAGCTCTGGAAATGTCATGTGCTTCATGTGCTGATATGGTGATAAACGAGAGCCTGTTGTGTTTTACTAGAGTTAGTTCCTTTGGCCTTGTGAAGTAAAAATGAGTTGGATATCAGTAGCAAAAGACTGACATGGCATCTTTTGTTTCTGAGCAGCAATATTTCCTTTCAGCTGATGATTGACTCCCACCTCAGCTGTAGGACATCTTTCTCTGCCTTGCAGAAAACTAAAAAGTCAAGGAAAAAAGAGGGGTGATAACTTTCCCTTAAGTGAGTTTAACATAAAGTTTTTAAAAAGAGGAAGGAAATAGATGGGTTGCCTGAACAAATGGTGCGTAAGAAATATTAGAGTCAACTTGTAGCATTCAGATCCTTGCTGAATCCACAGGTGGGGTAAACTGATAGAAACACTGGCATCACTGTAGGGGCATCAGTCTGCACTGTCTTAGGCCTGCCAGGCATCTCAGTGCCTATGAAGGCTCTAATCCCAAGTCATTCAAAGCTGTGGAGGAGAGGCCCTCATTTATTCCACTTTTTTGTGCCTTTGAGGGACGTTGGGGCCTGCATCACTCCATACTCTGTGGTCCCTCCATGCAGAGGCCTGGGCACGCACATGGCCAGCTCTTCCTACTAACGTGAAACTCCTGAAAGAATGAGGCCTTTGGCTGTTAAATCAAATTCATGTTACATGGTAGCACAGAATCCTAATGAAGGAAACCACAGGAAATTTATGACTCCAGGGCCTCAGCTGCCAGTCATCCTTCCTTGCTCGTGCCAACTAGAAGTAGCAAAGTTGTCAAAATAAATTATGATTAAAAGGGGAGATGGCACAGCAGGTTATTCAGCTTTGTGGAATATTTTGCAATGCTATACATCATAAAAGTTAGTCTTTCAAATGCCAGACATCTACTTTCATTATCATTATTACAGAGTAAGTCTTAAATACTAAAGGGCAAGCAGAAAGCACAGGTTTAATTTTGTACTCAAACATCCCTTCTAAAAACAGGGGAAAAAAGAAGTGACTCTAGTATTAAGGAAGTTTTATGCAGTTCTCCTCAGCTAAATATCTCTCTCTCAATAACTCTGTAGCCAAGTGAAAATTGTGAGACTGTGTTAGATTTGAACTACAGGTTGTGATGTTGGTCCCAGTGGGAGCATGAGAGGTATGAGAGAGCTGATTGATGTAGCTTTTTATTTCATTTTTTTTTCTCCCTAGAATTTTATTTCTTTGCTTAAACTAGATACTTAAGTTCCTGAAGTGCTGTCATTTTATGCTACATTGACCACTAAACTTGAAATGGGAGAAGTTTGATTTTTGGAGTTAAAATACATGCATAATGTCAGGAATCATCTTGGATTTCAGCTACCTGAAGAAATTATTTATACTCTTGAGTATGAAGAATAACACCATGGCAATATACAGACTGAATAATTTGGGGTCTGTGTGACATATCAGCAGTATATTTAAGAAATTCTATAGAAAATTCTGGATAGTTTTGTGTCTGTTTATGAAGCATGAGACAGTCAAGGTGATGTTTCTTACATACTTACACCAGAAGTTCAGCTCATATGTATACTGTAAGACTTGATGGTTGACTGAAGAACTGCTAGGGTTTTGATATTGGAAAACGCAGTTTAAAAAAAAAAAATTAGACTAAAAAATCCAGTGGTCCAGCTATAGCACCTCATTAAATTTTCTGAAAATAATCTTTTTCATTGCATAGGATATTTTCAGAAGAGTTTTATAGGTTTTCATAAACTCTTAGGCAGATGAAAATGGCAAAGTCTTTAAAGGGTTAGAAACTGTCATGTATGTGGGGATGGTGATCTTTTGTAGGTCCTTCAGTAGATCAGTTCTTGTGAAATGTGTGGCATACATTTTTTCTTGTTGGTCTGATTAAGGGAAAGCTGGAATTGGCATCCTCATATTTTCTATGTCAAAACAAATGAAAAATGGTTTGTATTTTTAAGTATTTTAAGTTTTTCTTGTGTGCTCTAAAGAACTGATACTATGACAACAAAACAGTTCATTCTTCATGAACTTCTATAAAGAGAAGAAAGTGTGATGAGGTAGAAAGCACAAGTATATTGCTCTTTACAAAACATTTAAGTTGAAAATTGGGTATATTTGAAAATGAAAGTACAACTTTTTTATACATAGCAGTTTCGATAAAGCT